TTCAATTGATGGAAGAAGTTTATGGCGATGATTTCCTATCCCGTAGCAGAGTGCACGAGTGGTTTCAACGTTTTCAAAGTGGTCGTGAGGACATAAATGACGATCAACAAATGGGCCAATCAAAATTCGTGATCACCGAAAATTCTGTGCGTGAATTCATCAAATATCAGCCGAAATCATCATTGAAATTTATGGAAATGGAATTGAACATCTCCAAAACATCGATTTATCGCATTTTGACCGAACATTTGGGCTTACAAAAGGTGTGTGCACGGTTTGTTCCGCAGAAATTGAATGACGACCTAAAATTGCTCTCATCGATCGACGCTTGTGACCGATTATTTGACAAAAATCACATTTTAGCCATTAACCACTCGCCGTATTCACCTGATATAGCACCGTGCGACTTCTATCTTTTCAGAAAAATGCATTTGCCCATGAAAGGAAAGACGTAGAGGCCATTCAAAAGGCTTGCACCGGCATACTGACGGCCATACCGGCCAACGAGCTAAACTGCTTTTGGATCGTGCAAAAAGTTATATTGAAGCAAAATGAGACTATTTTGAATAAAATAAATTGATTTTGCCGAAAAAACCATTTGTTCTGTTTTTTTTTTTTAAGTCCTGTTTACTTTGGAACACATCTTGTTCGCACAAAGCGCTTGAGCAACATCAGAGCCTTCTTCCAGCCCGCTGGCTTTAAAAAAGGATTCCCCACTCAACGCACAATTGAAGGCGAATTGGTATTAACCGATGATAAAGCACCTACCACATACCGACAAGAAATTCAAGGATTCATTGAATAGGAAGACCTGACAAATCTTGCAATGCTGGGCTTTGGTGGAAAAAATGCCATTAACCATTGACAAATTTCAAGTAGAATTCGCATATATACAAGTTGCCTGGAATCCTGCTTTGTATATTCTGAGCGGATCAGATCCAAACACAGGCACAACTGGAGGGTTGGAAAAATGTACGTTAAGTAGTTATTCAAAAGAAAGTTTGAAAAAACCCTAAACATCGAAAGCACAAAAAGCCTGTTGATTAAGAATACGTCTTATATTATAAATATAACAAAATAAATATAACTTTTTACGTTATTTATGACTTTTTAATAAGCTTAAACTATTAATTTTAAATAGTAAACGCTTGAAGTAAGTTTTTGTCGTTTTTGAAAATAAAGAGTTGACGTAACTTTTGTTAATTCTGAAAATATTATTTATTACGCAAATGTGAACAGAATAACTTTTGTTAACACTATTTTTTTGAAATTTTTATTTGTAATCTCTATACTAGCGTTACAAGTATTTGGTTACTTTTAAGTTAGTACGCTAGTCACTAAATACATAGATCTATATCAACATACCTTTTATTTATTTATTTATTTATAAAAAAATCAACAAATTTACTGTCAATAAATAATTGATAATATTAGAAAGTAAAATAAAGACATTTATAGTATTACATTATAAGTTAAACTTAAAAGATAAGAAAGCCTAAGGGAGAGCTATACAATGACGTCTATTAATGCCTCCGACACGTTGGGGGAATTTTATTTGCCAGTTGGCCAGCTATGCCCCGATTCACAGCCAAATGTGGTCAGAGACATTATAGACCTAATAAACTAAACAAATAGCAAGTAGAAGAGAAGAATGAATTCTACTTAAGAACTAATTAGAAAAAGTAAGGTGTAGAAAGAGGAAGAGGAAAAAGAAAAAAATAAGAGGGAAAGAGAGATACAAAGACAGAGAAAGAGAAAGAGGTAAATCTCCAACCCGGTGGGGGAAAATTTAAATGCCAGTCCGGCTAGCTATAACAATACATATCATATAAATTAATCTAAATACATTTAATTTAATTTTTATTCTTATTTGTTATATTTATTAATTTATAATAATATAATTAAAAGTTAGATATTTAGTTAAATATATATTTAAATTTAAAGTGTTTTTTTTTTTTGAGTGTAATCCCGATTACACGATTTTGCTAAGCACAAGGTTTCCTAAGAACGCAGCGTCCGAGTTAAATCGTCATTTGTGCTGGGGATTCCCTTTGGTTCTATACATGCGAGCTTTAAAAATGAGCTTCCTGTTACAATGTGTTGTATAGCAAGCAGCTATGCAAGGTCTTGCGAAGCAGTGTGCAAGCAGTGATGCAACAAGCAGTTAACAGCAACGAACGAAACATAACAGAAAACTGTTAAGTTGATGTTTCAAACTGATTCGGATTTAATAGTTCATTAAAAACAACAATTGTCATCGGATTTGAATTAACAAGTGCCCTGAATTGGCGGCCAAAACATAGGCAATAAAGGTGTTCATTTACCAAATATGCAGAGCAAACAAAGAATGAAGGGTACAAGTTTGTTTTACACTTTTAGGGTTAACAGTGCAGCAGTGGCTCTGCCTGTGGCTCTGGCTGTGGCTGTGGGTGGTTGTGGGTGGTTATGTGGCGCACATGCTCGAGCGACAAGGGACATTAGACGTGTGTACTATAAACGGCCCAGACTCAACAGGTTTAGTCTCAGTTGCCGCTGTGCACTCCTTGAGTGAATTTCGAAATTGCCAAATCGGAAAAGCGCTTTATGGGAACGGTACGACGGTGAAGGGCCCTTTTTTTGAAAATATATAATATCTACAGTTACTTTGTGACAAGCGCAGATATTGTGTGACATTCTTAAAATTCGGGCAATAAAAATTTTTATGTGTGCGTTGTGAACATTAACAAATTGATTGGAAATAATACAGTTTTGTGGGTTGTCGGTGAAGCATTCAACGGATAATGGTGTGCAATATTGAGAATATCGCCATTTGAATTATACTATAAAGAACCTGCACTCATTCGCAATGAGAAAATTTAAAGCGTTTCAGATGGAAAATAAAAGTTCAAAAGCTGTGTAGTGCTGTGTCTAAAAAACATATTAAAATTTAAAAAATTAATAAAGGACTCGCACTTTTATTTGTGAGAACGGAACGACTTGCGAAAGTTAGAAATATTTGACTCAGGGATAATTTGTCAACGCAATTAAAACTTTAATCAATAAAAACGGTTGATGAGTGTGAAAGGAAAAGCGACAGAGAACAACAAACAGGATATGTGGAGGAAAAGCAACACATCCATATAGAGACACCATGATATGTTTACTTGTTTGGGCAGCTAGCGATAACCCCGCACCCTAAACACTGAGAAAAACAGCACGTTGCTTCCAAGGATTAATTTTTCGTCCAATCCAATAGTTTGATATTTTTTTTACATTGTGCCACACCAACCGAACAATCAAATGTCCTTTCAATTAAACGCAAAGTGCGACAAACACACACATATGTACACACACGCACACACACACACATACACACACACATTCAATGGCAACTGGACGCGCAACTTTACGCGCTGACTAAACGTCGCTCATCCATCAAATTTATTATGGTCTGACTGTGCGGGAACTAAGCGTTCTGTCTGTATGTGGGGTGTACGGATGGGTGTGGGCTGATAGTATCCTGCTGAAGGGTTGGCAGATTGCCGGATTGGCGAAATGGCGGGTCGATGAATCGCTGGGTCGTCTGTGTGTGTGTGTGTGTGTGTGTGTGTCTCTGCGCCCATATGTGTTTATTTATCCTTTGCAATTATTTTACGCGCCTTTCTCATTATTGCATTCCCCCTTTGGCTCATTGAAACTCAACAAGTGTCCCATGTCCTATGTCCCGTTATGTACAGTGTTATCCTGCGCATTGCCATCGCACGCGTGCTTTCTGTTTGCCGAGAGGCGCGCGGGCGCGGGAATTTCGCAAGTGCCATTCGAACAATTACAAACTAGATACAATTATGCATAGTTTTCATGGCCGCCAAACTGAAATGTGTCCATAAATGTTAATGTTTATGAGTCGTAATCATATGAGAGTAAAAAAAAAAAACAAAACCCAACTTTCCATACCCTTGCCAAGTGAATGCGTATTCTGACTTTCTCATTAATTTTGTCTCGCAGACACGACATATGTATTTTTCCATATCTAGCTAAGATAGCAAACAGCCCTAATAGTTGCTCTTGGCAGCGTAAGATAGTTCCCGAAATGTCCTGCATTTTTAGCAAAAACCGCTGAAGGACAAAGAACAACAAAAAATTGTCATTCATAGTATAGACAGACTAAGATCAGGAGTTTAATTTTATATTTTCTTATTTTCCTCACCTTAATGGACATGTTTATTATTGAAAATAGTTGTTTAAAAAGCAACAATGTATAGAGCTGAACGAATTCCTCAGAGTTTTACACTTTCAGATTAGTTCTACGTTTAAATGGAATTCAAAAAAGTAAAATAAACTCGTATAGACTACGTGCTAGGAGCGTCTTCATACCAAGTTTGGTTTATGTACGCTCAGCCGTTTCCGAAATATAGGCGTTCATCCAGACAAACGGACAGACGGACGGGCGGACATGTCTAGATCGATTACTCTCATGCTGATTCAGAATATATATACTTTATGGGGCGGAGATGCTTCCTTCTGCCTAGTACATACTTTGCACAAACCTAATATACCCTTTTTACCCTACGGGTAAAGGGTATGAAAAAGGTGTACTGGCCAGATGGACTTTTAAAAATGGTCTTATATGCATCCATGTCTGTGATAATGCCATAAATTTCTTAGAGTGTATAGAACAAATGCTTTCTCAAAGCCCAACAAAATTGTTTCAATTAGATACTGGTTTCGTTTAGCATTGTAGAAACGGATAATCTATCTAGGATAGGTCCCACTATTATTATATTACACGCTCTAATATCGTGGTTTCCCTTTCTCCAACTTAGTGACTTACTAGCTGCCTAACTACTTACATACGTTTGAGGGCATTTAGTTCAGTTTGTTTGATTTCAAGGGTAACTGCGTGTCGAGGTGCCAAGGAGAGTGAACTTTCCAGTAAACACTAGTGCTGGCCAGTCGATGCTGGCGCAAACGAACAGTAACGGAAACCCATGAACAATATGCTAAATGGAAAAACTCACATAATGAGCGGAAACAACGACGACGACAAGGGCAGAAACAAAGATCCGATGCAAACAGAACCACCAACCGGACCCGCACCGGCTGCCGATGCAGGAGGGAGCAGGACAATCTCAGTGCCAGCCGTGAAGATCGATATGAGCAACTGTGTGAAGCCGGGCGAGGAATTGGTGGTCACCACACATCACAACCATCAGCTCGACAGAATGTCGGTGCGTTCGATTAGCTCCGAGGATATATCGAGCGGGGGAACCGGCCGGTGCTGCAGTGCCGCCGCCCGCAATCCCGCCATAAAGACGGGCCGTCGTTTGCAGCTGATGCAGGTGAGTGACCAAATTCGGGCTCGAAGCGCGAAAGTGAAAACAAAAAAGTCGAGCAAATTGGCAGTAGACGACGTAAATCAGCAATTGGTACGTATGCGTCTTAATTAGCGCATCGACATCGGCGTCGATATCTACTTGTAGTAGTGTGTACGAGTATAGCAGATATTATTAGAAGGCAGCGTCACGTGCGCTCTCTTAATGAAGTGTCGCCGACTTGGATGCGCCAGCGATGCGAGGCGACGATTAGTTGGGGCGATAAAGACTAATCACGTTTTTATTGCCCAAATGACGCCACACAATGGCGGGCAGAGGTACTTCCCTAATTGCTGGCGATGCGTACGGAATCGCATCACGGAGTACGGAAGCTCTTCCGCTGACCCACAGATGCCGCCGATTAAGGGCAGAACAGGGCCGCTCATTTAACTGGGCGCCCCTTTTTCGAAATGCCAAGCTAGACAACAAACTTGGCGATAGTTAATGGATATAGATTGTTTTGAGCCGCTCAAATGCTTGCGCGGCAATTGGCAATGTCGCCAGCCATTCATTGCAATGCGTATCCATTTTCCATTTCCAGATGATAATTTTACCATTTATACCAATATTGGCATTGATTGTGCAAACATCGCTGACACTACAAGAGATACTCAAGTATCGGGCCGATGTGGCTGACATAGAAACGCAGGTGAGTGTCAGCAGCAGCCGCAGCGGCAGGAGCAGCCGCAGCATCAACCACACATATCCCTGACCAGGACAGACAAAGCAGGCAAAAGCACGAACACAACACAAACACAAACATAGACAGACATGAATGAATGTGGTGTGTGTGTGTGTGTGTGTGTGTGTGTGAGAGACTGCGTTTGAAGCGTAATTAAAATTTATTACTGAAATTCAATCATACGCCAAGTATGCCAGTGCAGGATAAAGAGCAAAGAGCATGTGTCTTTGTATTTGTGTGTGTAGGCGGGCACTTGAAAAAATATTCTCTCTTTCAAAACCCTTTTTTAAAATATGCAAAATCTGTTTTTTTCTTGGCCAACTTTCTTTTATTAATTATTGGCTTATTTTTTTCAATTCATTAATTAAAAATTAATACTCACTGATTAAAGATATATGTACATTTTGTCCTTAATCCTTACGAAAATACAAAATTACAGCTTGAGTTTCACTTTTGATCAAAAAAATAAAACTCAAAGCATAATCATTATTTTATAAGTTCTATTTTTTTACTCATCAATAATAATTATTGGTTAATTTTTAAAGTAAAACTCAAAGTTAATCATTACATTTTGATCGAATGATTAAAATTAAAAAATAATCATTTTTTTGTAATTTTTTTAATAACACTTATAATGATTACAGTCCCTGGTTTAAGTTATAGGAGCAGGGGTATTGAATTATTTTTTAATAATTTGAAAATCCTTAAGGCCAGCCAATTTGTCTGAATTTATTTTCGCAGAACCAACAGTAGACAGACATTTTTTCCATGCATATTTTACTTTGTTTTTGATTATTCTATTAATTTATAAAGATAATGAAATCAGATGAAAGAATTCTTTTTGTTTTAAAGTACATTCCTCTACGAATTTTCTGTTCAAATTAAAAACCCATTGCCTTTTATACAAAATAGAGTTTCGCTGTTTTTGTTATCACTATTTATGTAAAAAATTATGCCTTCAAAAAAAATACAAACAAATATATTTAATGGATATATTTAATTAAAATACGAATATTATATAACAAAAAGTCTGGGATACTATTAAGTGTTGTGTTAAAAAATGGTGCGTTTTTTATTTTCAAACAATTTTATGACTCTGGACTCTTTACATAAGAGATGAAATGCCACAAATATATTTCTCTACTCAATGGCATTCATATAATTCGATTTCAATTAAAGTACAAAGTAATATGATGGTCAAACAAAGAGACTTTAAGCGCTTTGTGTATCAGAAATAGCATTACATTTAAAAAATGTAATAATAATTACGTTCAAGCTAATTGTTTTTAATCCCTTTATCAACTATTCTCCCATTAAGAAACGTATAACACCACTTCCTATATCGGAAGGTACTAAAATGCCTTTCAACTTTTTATAGCCTGTACCCAAAGGGTGAAAGGCTATACTAGTTTTGTGCGCATGTATGTAACACACAGAAGGAGGCGTGGCAGACCCCACAAAGTATATATATTCTTGATCAGGATGAGAAGCCGAGTCGATATAGCCTTGTCCGTCCGTCCGTCCGTCTGTCCGTCTGTCTGTCCGTCTGTCCGTCTGTCCGTCTGTCCGTCTGTCCGTATGAACGCAAGGATCTCAGAAAGTATAAGAGCTAGAATAACCAAACTTGGTTTCCATATTCTCCTAAGACCGAGAAAGTACGAGTTTGAGTTTTTTTTCGATGCACCCCCCCACTCCCCCGCAATTCGTGTTTTTTCTTATAACTTCCGTAATTCTCGGAATTTTGAAATCAATTTTGGTAGGTACATCCAGTTAGTACTAATGTGTCCGTGTGCCAAATTTCATCATGATAGGTCAATTCTGAAGAAAGTTATAGCCATAAGTAAAATCGCTGCTCATGCGCTGCCTCTGTCGGCAGCGCTGCCCGCAGCTGTTGTTGTTGTTGCTGCTTTGGTTCAACTTTGTGCTGCATACATACACGCATATAAACACGCATAGGTACGTGATGTAAATGTATGCTGTTAAAACTAAACATAAACATATATTCTAATTTAATTTAATTAATTAATTCATTAATTTTTTTTAATAATTTAATTTTTTTTTTAAACTTTTTTTTTTTAATTTTTCTTTTTTTGTGGAGAGTACAGGCTATTTTACTGTCGGGCTTGCTCGACTGTAGCGTTCTATCTTGTTTAAATAAAGTAGACCAAAGATTTTGCTTTTTAAATTAAAACAAATAACATTTCAAAGTAGTGAGCATATTTTCATTAAAAAAAATAGTTCATATACCAACGAAATGCGGAAGTTTGTATACTCCGAGGCATTATCAATGGGCGCGTTCAGCACATCGTAGCGATTTACGATTTGTGATTTGTTGTTTTGAATTATTATTATTGTGTTTTGTGCTTTCGCTTGACATTTTTACTTATCCGAATCACAAATCACAGCGGTCAGCATGTGAAATCAGTAATGATCGATCTATCGCAATCGCTATTGGGAACGAGAACGTTTCCAACTTTTGTATACATAGAAATTTTAAACTCTTTAAAGTGATGGGCACACATATTGGTACTTAAAGAATTGCATGTCCCTTTAAGCAAAAATATAAATAATCGTATTATAAAATATAATTAATCATATCAACAACATTTTTGCGATGGATTTTTCAAGTCGACTTGAAAAATTGACAAATATTTAATTGTTTGACTCGAAGAACATGAATAATAGTTAGGTTTTTTCACAGCTAGGATTTTCCTAGACTAGGATTATGACCAAAGCCTGCTGATAATAAAAAAGCTATACAGACATCGGCTTTGTTTCGTAGTATTGAAATTATGTTGTTCTAGTGGGTTATCGAAATGATATTTAAATATCAAGCATTGCATTTCCTTATATAGAAGAGACCTAAGATCCGATTAACCCAACATTGAAGGGAATTTTCAGAGTTTCCGATCGAAATGCTTTCTTCATTTTTTTCGAGTGTTTGGCGAGTGGTCAATGTTCACTTGACCAGCAAACAGTGTCGCTTCTGGCCATGGCTATGAAACTGCGCAAATATATGTATATAGTATGAAGAAAAGTGCGGGTGGGTGTATGGAAGTATGCATGTGCGAGTCTATACTCGCAGAGGCGATGTTTGTTTACCCAGGTAAGTGCCTGGACAACCTTTTGCCCAGTCCGGTCGGCGCTTGCGGACGCACGCAGCGTTCCGCGCAGTCACAGCAAATTTTCCAACTTGAGTGCTTTTTTCTTTTTATGCAAATACTTCAGCAATGAAGCTCGATGGGAAATAAAAAATATGATGCTAAAGTGAATTGATAAGCGCACATAGAAAAATATGCATTGACAGGGCGGCAGGACCGTAAGACGGCACTAGAAAAGGCGAAACACTTAAAACGCATTGGGAGGAATTGGTGGGAGGGAGTGGGTGTACTCGGCTACTTTTGAATGGGGTCACGTACTTAGAATGCAAAACATATAGCTGAGTGGGACGAAAAAAGAAAATGCGAAGTACAATTGTTACTCCCACCTATGACAGGTGACCATAGCCACAGACTTGGGCAAAGTCGTGACCCGTCTGCAACTAGAACGTTCTGAGGTGGCCTTCTATATCTTCACCAATGGCAGCAAGGAGCGGTGAGTGAGAAAAGTTTTGCATTGAGCGATTTCCCAGTAAGCAATATCTTTACAGCGCCAATCTTACGCAGCGCTTTGCCATCACGGACTATGCCCTAAACAATATGACGACTTGGAGCGAGGTTAGTGTCCCCACCGCCCCAGACAGTGATGAGGACGACATGGAAGTGATGCTGAATCGCAGTGAATTTCAGAGTCGTCTCAACGATTTCCGGTGAGCTTCAGAGTCAAAAAATCAATGAAAAATTAACTTGTTTTAATGTTCATTTACTCTGCAGAGATCGTGTGCGGTCTGAGCCAGAAGACAGCTCTATAACAGAAGTAATGAACTGGTACACTTCCATCAATCGAGGCCTATTACACCATTTAAATGAACAGGTTAAGGAGACAGACAGCAGCGGCGTCTGGCGGTAAGCACACATGATATTTGAAATATTTACCTTCATCATCAAACTCTATTTGCAATAAGTAATTTACGAGCGATTTTCAATTCTCTATCAAACAGCGAAGCAAAAATCATGATTTCAATTCAAGGACGAAATCTTATTCCAGAATATTACAACATATTTAAAATACTTCATGCTTTGATTAAACAGAAAAAAAGTACATATGTCATTTATTCCATTCATTAAATCCGAAAGATTTGATGTTTCGCTTTAAATGTTTTAATATTTTTGTTTGTCCAGAATGTTTCCAAATCAGTTGTTTCACTGTAATTAAGTATTATAAAACATCGTTTACCTCTAGGACATTATTTTTGTAATAATATAAAAGTATTTTAAATATTAATTTTAGTTCAGACGATCGATCCTGTTTGTGGCTTTCGTTTTAATCCACAGTATTTTCAACGATTTCAAAACATCAATTTTACTCTAGATTGCTTTTAAGGTTTTTAAAGCAGCTTCAAAATAATTACTTTAAGAATGAATGAGAAATAATGGGATTTACCAAATACTATAGATAAGGTGTTAGGTTATGTTTACGAAGAAAAGAAAGAAATTAGAAAATTGTTATTTTATTCGTTCCCCTGAGGAGTGCAACATTTTATAAATGTATTACAGAATCACAAAACTTTCCAACCCGTATTTCATTTTTCAGTTACCTTATTGGCTTCAAGAATCTTCTGAAGAGCATCGAATGCCAGAACATTGCCGCCTCATTCGGCATACGTTATTATGGACGTGGCGCATTATCTGCCGATAATTTTGTGTCTTACGTGCGGTATGAGTTCATGGCGCGGGAACTCATCAATTCTTCACTAAATTATGCTCCCATGTTACGGCCTATGTATACTAATATTACCAGCACCAAGAAGTTTCTTCGAGTCAAACTAATGTATATATTCAAAAACAAAATAGTTAACATTTCCAACATCCAACTTATATCGCTATTTCCAGGAGCAATATTGTGTTGAAGAACAAACCAAATGTTTCGGATGAACGGAGTGCCCTCGAATACTACGAATTTATGCACAACTATACGGACGACCTACGAATTCTGCAAAAAGCGCTGCGCAGGCTGATTAAGTAACCCCAGTTGCCACTCAACTGAGCAGTGTTTAATTTGTTTGTTTGTTTTTTTTTTGTAGGGAATATGTGGATAAGACACTAGTTGAGGCAGATCGAAAAGAGGCCATAGGTATAGCTATATTGGTGGTAGTGCTGATTGTATCGCCAATCATAATAATTCTGGTGAAGAACGCTGCGGCTACGATTCAGGTAGGAATACAAACCTATTGATACACTTGTGGCATTAATGGCCAGAAATTAAACAGGTTAACTGGTGAGAAAATTAAAATTAATCTCTGCACACACTTTTTACAAAAAGTCCATTCATTTGAATTGCCAAGAGCACAAAAAGCTGTTTTGTCTTCTCCAAATACTATATCCTACATTTCAGATGAGAAAAAAGTACAAGTAAAGAGAAACAAATAGAATCTCTGTAGCTCTAATACTTTGTAAGAAAATAAACTCGATATACCGACAATCTGTTAAGCAATTAACACGTTAACCACTGGGCGTGAATATCTTTTCTCCTTTCATTTATAATTTATCGCTGATATTCTGTCTCCACTATCAACACAAAAAGATGTTTTGTCTCCTCCAAATATATCATACATTTCGGATGAGCCAAGTAATGAGAAACAAATAGCTGCAAATACTTTTTAAGAAAATAAACTCGATAGCCCGATAATATTTTAAACAGTTAACCACTGGGTGTGAATATCCTTGCTCCTTTCATTTATCATTTCTAAAATAATTCGTACTCGCTGATATTCTCTGTCTCCACTATCTCCACCTCTCTCTTTCACTCTCTCTCTCTCCCTCACACTATTTATATCTTCCCAGCTATATGCCTTCAATTTGGCCCAGAAGGCGAAGGAGCTGAAGCGCGAGAAGCGAAAAAGTGACTCTCTCCTCTTTCAGATGCTGCCCCCCAGCGTGGCCGTACAATTGAAACAAACCCAACAGGTGAGAGCTCCGACTACTTAGCCCATCGTTGACGGCAGCCATTATCCATTATCCTGGCCAGCTATAAGCCAACTAATTAGCCGTCAATGCAACTTTGTTATCCTTTATCGTGCCATTCATTCATTTTATGCTCTCCATATCTTACCACCGCCCCCCCGCAGGTTCCTGCCGAGCTATACGAGGCCGTGACTGTCTATTTCAGCGACATTGTGGGCTTCACTGAAATCGCCGCCGAGTGCTCGCCGCTCGAGGTGAGTTGGACATCGGAATGGGGCATTGTTTCGTTTCGTTTCTAGTTTTTTTTTTTTTTTTTTTTTAACAGGTGGTAACTTTCCTTAATTCGATCTATCGAGTTTTTGACGAGCGCATCGAGTGCTATGACGTGTACAAAATTGAAACCATAGGCGACTCCTATATGGTGGCCTCGGGACTGCCAGTTAAAAACGGTGAGTGAGCGGCATCAGTGAGGTAATTTATGCAAATTTCGCTGTCAGCGAGGCAAACGTTGACCCTTTTCATTGCTGGCATTGCCGCAGATTTGCGCTAATTTGACTTTTGTGCACATGCGCCTTAATTTATGCTGTGCCCATGCCGCCAAGGCTGTGGAAAATTTTCACACATGTTGCAGCCAACCCCAACCTCCCTCCATACGCCTCCACAACGCGGCAGACACACAAACATGGATATATTTGGTTGACTTTTTCAGGCAACAAGCACATCAGCGAGATCGCAACAATGGCACTTGATTTGCTGGACGCCTCGTCGGTCTTTCGAATCCCGCGCGCCTCCGACGACTCCTTCGTACAGATACGCTGTGGTGTGCACACTGGACCTGTGGTCGCCGGCATTGTGGGCACGAAAATGCCGCGCTACTGTCTCTTTGGCGACACGGTCAACACTGCCTCACGGATGGAGTCCACCGGCGAGGCGCACAAGATACATATCACCGAGGAGATGAACGAGGCACTGCAACAGGTGGGCGGTTTTAAAACCGAGCATCGCGGCCTCATCGACGTAAAGGTGAGTCAGATCGCTCCTCATAATATGGGTGGGTTTGGTTAGGTTCACATTTGATGCTTTTGATAAATTTGATTTTAAATTTATAAATGAAAAACATATGATGAAAAATGCATCCCTAAAGCGGTTCAAAATTTACATCTAAGGAAAAATTATAAGCTTTTCAGAAAAAGGAATCAAGGGATAGTTCAGTGCTTTAGAAAATTACGCAGAAGAAGCCAAAGTTGAGATTCTGGGAAGATTCTAGACATTTTTTGTATTTTATTTACATTTAAACTTAATTTGTATCTAGATTCATAAAAATTTCCCTAGTAATCCAAATTGTGCATTAAATTCATAAATGCATTAATAATTACAAGATAGAAGCAAGTTTTCCTTCTACGTATAGTTGTACACTACAAAAGAGTTCAGAAAATGTAATCGACAATTTTGAACAATTGAGCATAAAGGTGAGCATGAGAAGAAAAGTAAAACACAATATTAGTTTTTCACTGTGACACCACTGAGACCGTTGGTCAGCATTCTATTCACATAAAATCTCTTTGCAGGGCAAAGGACTCATGAGCACATATTGGCTGACCTGCAAGGATGGGCCAGTTCGCGTGCGTGAGGAAATCTCTTGGCATGCGGACATGCAGCCAGTCTTCCTTGACCACTTAAAACTACAACCGCCACCGAACTACAAATTACCAAAGCGGAAATGAATGTTTCCAATGAACAGACGCCATATAGCATATGCCAAGCGATAGATAGCAAGCGTTAGCTTTATCTGTTTTTTATCTGTTGGTCTAATGAGCAGACCAACACACACACACACACACTCACACACACACACTCACACACACACACATACTTACAATTACTCAAAATGTACATTTTGAAATAACTATTATTCGGGTCTTTAGATGTTTGTGTGATCCTTTTGTGAGCGCCTTGTGTGCTTGTTTCACTCCCACCACAACCCCTACCAACACCACCCCTATATCTCTAGACGTGTCGTTAACTATATGATGTACTTGTTGTCTTTGTGTGTAGTCTCCCCGCCGACGCGACGTTCATGGCGTGTTAGCGTATATTTATTAGTGGCATTATGCATAATTTAATATACAAATGTACGTACGTATTGTGGGTACTGTTGAAAATGTTACATACAAGTATATATACATATTTACTTTGATATATGTGACGTTGACTTTCGTTGCTATTGAACTTTACTAAATTTATGCGTAGATATAGAACATAAAATTCACGTTCTACACAAGTATTTTTACTTTGATTTAATTTCGTGTAGGTTTTAAAATGTATTGAAGTTAAATTTAGTTTATTTTTATTTTATATACATACTTATGTACTAAAACCAAATAAACTAAAGCTTTCTTTGTTGTTATTTTTTACTTTTGGAAACATTACATCAAACCCGCTTTGGACTTTATGGCTTCTATGGAATGACATAAAAAATATATTCATCTATTGTTGAACAATAAAACCCGAATTGCAATGTTAGTTGATTTTAATATGTAGTGCGCAACTATTAAAGTAATTAAGTCTCTGGGGTATGTTTTGAAAATATTTTGAAACATACATATGTAAGTTTTAAATCCCTCATGAATAAATGAAATAACATACAAGTATTAAAAAAGATTCGGATTTGGAACTGAGAATAATATCAAAGCTATGCATAAATACATGTTACAAATTTAACCTCAAAATACGAAAAAATTGTATTCAAAATTCATCGTTCAATTGTAAAAGTAAATAAAATTCTGTTTTATTATGAACGCGATCTGTCCAATTTAAATGTCAAATACTGTTGGAAAATACATTTTGAATTAGTCCTTTTAACTGCCACAATGTAAATATCATGCAGGCGAGTTGGCAGCCCCAGCTCTTTCGAATTAGCAAGCGGGTTGGCAACGCTCACGGGAAAGAATGATGGGCTGCAAACGAGCTGATTGCTGTTGCAGTGCGAATATGTAATACATGGTAAACAATTAATAGAGCCCCACTACCCACAGAGGATCATGTTGCAAATATGTCGAACCACAACAAACGGAGCGCTGCAGCGATGGCGCCAGCGCAAAATGGTCTCGACATGGTCGCCACTGGCCACAGCATTCAACTCGCCGCCTGCTAAACGAATAAATTTCACCCGAGACGATGTGGTAAGTGGCCGGCAACAAGAAATGTCGAATGGTAATAAACTTGAGTAACATGCGTGGTTACAGGGTCTATTTGGAATGCCGCAGCTGCGGACGTTCGAGGGCTTCTATTTGCTGCGAGACAATGCGGAGCAGAAAACGCAGGACCTAATTGCCGAGGCAATCTCAAAGGAAAGGCGGCGCAAGATGGTGGACATTTTTGACGAACTCTCTAATTCGCTGTGCAAAGTCGCCGATCTAGCAGAGTTCATACGTATAGCGCATCCACAGAACAAATATATGCAGGCGGCGGAAGAGGCTTGCATTAGCATTTGTGGTGTTGTGGAGAGGTAGGACTATGAATAACTGAGATGAAGTGGGGACTTACCGATCTAAGCTTCTCATTTTCCCTTTCCTGTGTAGCTTGAATACACACAAGCCATTGTATCAGGCGCTGAGCCATGTGGTCGAACAAGGCGATTTGATGGCCACTACAGACGTGGATACGCATGTGGCCAAGCTCTTTTTGTTCGATTTTGAACAGTGCGGCATTCATTTACCCGAGTCTGAGCGTTTGCGTGTGGTGCGCTTAAATGATTACATACTCCAGCTAGGACAGAAATTCATGAACGGCGCAGTGCAACCGACAGTCCTGGCGCGTAGCGCTGTGCCAGAGTCTATAAGAAGCTAGTAAGTTTGTCATTAAACGTTGCGACGATCCGGCCATTACGCACAGCTTATATTTGCAGCTTTCCCACAGCCGGCAACAACATCATTGTCACAGGTCTAAGTACAAACGCAGAGAATGTTCAAATGCGCGAGGCCGCCTATCGACTGTATCTACAACCCTCCGAGAGTCAGGAGCAGCTTCTCAAAGACCTGCTGATGTGCCGACATGAATTGGCCCGCAGTTGTGGCTTTGAAACTTACGCGCATCGCGCTCTGAACGCCAGCACCATGGAAACGCCAGAGTTGGTGCGCGAATTCATTGATGAATTGTCGGAGCAATTGCGGCCACGTGCCGATGCTGACTTCGCCATGATGACACAAATGAAACGCATGGAGAGTGGACAGCCAAATGCCACTGTAGCGGTGTGGGATACACCATACTTTACGTCCCAGCTTAAGCGGCAATCGCTCGAGGCCAACTCGAACGAATTTTTGCCCTACTTCTCACTTGGTGGCTGCATGGAGGGACTAGACAATTTACTGCACGCGCTTTATGGCGTGCGGCTAGAGAACACTGAAATGGAACCTGGTGAATCCTGGCACAGCGACATATACAAACTAGCTGTGGTGCACGAGGTAGAAGGACTGCTTGGCTACATCTACTGCGACTTCTTTGAGCGCAACGGCAAACCCAATCAGGACTGCCACTTTACCATACAAGGTGGGAAGCGTATGGCCGACGGCAGCTACCAAGTTCCCATTGTTGTGGTTATGCTGGGCTTGGCACAGCCACGGTGGACTGGACCGACTCTGTTATCGCCAGCGCGCGTTGATAATCTCTTCCATGAGATGGGACACGCTATGCACTCTATGTTGGCGCGAACCGAATACCAACACGTGACAGGCACGCGATGCGCCACCGACTTTGCCGAAGTACCCTCTGTATTAATGGAATATTTTGCCAGTGATCCTCGTGTGCTCCGCACCTTTGCCCGCCATTTTCAAACGCACAAGCCCATCTCGGACGATATGTTGCAGCGACTGTGTGCCTCCAAACACTTGTTTGCCGCCAGCGAGACCCAGTTGCAGGTCTTTTACTCGGCCTTAGATCAAGTCTACCATGGAGGAGATGTGGCACAGCAAGGTGCCAATACCACGGAGACATTACGATCCGTGCAAAACCGCTACTACGGTCTTCCATATGTGGACAACACCGCATGGCAATTGCGGTTCTCCCATCTGGTCGGCTATGGTGCAAAGTACTATTCATATCTGATATCCAAAACAATTGCTTCTTGGATCTGGCAAACGTACTTTGAGGCGAATCCCTTTAATCGAGAGTCTGGCGAGAAGTACCGTAGCGAGATTTTAGCGCACGGCGGGGCGGTGCCGAGTCGGAAACTGGTGGCTAACTTCCTGCAGCGCGAAATGACACCAAACATACTCGCCAAGAGCCTTATACATGAAATAGACACGGACGAATCCAAGATCAAGGATCTGATAGTCACTCGAAACTGAAATTAATTCTCGTCCCAATGTAAATACATAGATGTTGATCTGTTGGTTTTTTACTATTATAATTAGTTAACGTTTCTCTTAACTGGCTTGATTTGTTTGTACGTGAACCGTTTTATTGCGCTCTACTATACCGGCGCCACTGCGGGCATCAATTCAACTCCAACAAACTCCTTTGCTATTCGCACACCGAGGAAGAACAAGCCGAAGCTCTTTACTAGACTCCTGCAATGGCGGGGGAGGAAAAAAAGATTGGTTATGTAAACGACGCATGTTTGCGTTATAAATAAAATAGTTGTGTACGCTTATGCTTACCATTGAAATTCGTTGTGGTAAATGCTTTTCACAATGCTGATTGGATTTAAACCTTTTTTAACCATTTTCAGTGAGTTCTATCTCTTCCTAATCAACAATCTATTCTTCAGCGGCGACAAAAGTGCTGCTAAACTCTGCTTCTTCTTCAAAATCAAAACCCGAATGCAGCTCTGCAAACGACAATGTTCGAGCATTTTTCATCACTGGACGTCAACACGTGTATTATCACAACAATATACACGCAGGAACAACTTTTCGTATTAGAATTGATTGAATAATGGAGAACGATGAACTCAGCATGGAGGTGGTGGAGCCGGAAGACGCCGAGAGCGATATGGAACCTGACAGCGGAAGCGAAGACGAGGATCCAAATAGCTTAACATCATCGAAGAATCAAAAAGAAGTTTATTTGCCGGGCAGAGCGCTAGATGAAAATGAAGAGTTGGTGTGTGATGAAAGTGCCTACGTTATGCTGCACCAAGCCTCCACTGGTGCTCCCTGCCTAAGTTTTGATATCGTGCCCGACGAGCTGGGATCGGGTAGGGAGCAGTATCCCCTGACGGCGTATATTGTGGCTGGAACACAAGCGGCGCGCACACACGTCAACAACCTAATTGTGATGAAAATGAGCAACTTGCACAAAACACAAAATGACGATGATGATGGCGATGATGACGAGGAGCTGGAGGACGACCAGGACGAAGGTGTAGACCGGGAAGAGCTAAAGAAGCCAGAGATGACATGTGCGCTGATTAAACATCAAGGCTGTGTGAATCGAGTGCGAGCCCGTCGCTTGGGTAACAGCGTATTTGCTGCCTCCTGGAGTGAGCTAGGCCGTGTAAATATATGGAATTTGTCAAAGCAACTGCAGGCAGTCGAAGAGGCTCCCCTGTTAAAGCAATACGAGCGTGAAACGGCAACAGAAGCCGTGCGGCCCGTGTACACATTTAGTGGCCATCAGCAGGAGGGCTTCGCCATTGATTGGAGCGCTTGCGCCGACGGCGTATTAGCTACGGGAGACTGCCGGCGAGATATACACGTGTGGAGCCCACTGGAGGATGGTTCATGGAAAGTCGATCAACGCCCTCTAATTGGCCATACAGAGTCTGTGGAAGATTTACAATGGAGTCCAAATGAACGCAGCGTTTTAGCATCGTGCTCCGTAGATAAGACGATACGCATTTGGGATTGTCGCGCGGCACCTCAAAAAGCTTGCATGTTGACGTGTGAAAATGCGCACGAGAGCGATATAAACGTAATCTCGTGGAATCACACCGAGCCCTTTATTGCCAGCGGTGGCGATGATGGCTTCTTGCACATTTGGGATTTGCGTCAGTTCCAAACTAAGAAACCCATCGCCACGTTTAAGCATCATACCGACCACGTGACCACAGTCGAATGGAATGCGAACGAAGCAACAGTCCTGGCCTCTGGCGGCGATGACGACCAAATCGTGCTGTGGGATCTGGCAGTGGAAAAAGATGCTGACCAGGCGCAAGCACCAGTAGAAAATGAAGACGAACTAAATAAATTGCCGCCACAGCTGCTGTTTATTCATCAGGGTCAAAAGGAGATAAAGGAGCTGCATTGGCATCCACAGCTTCCCGGTGTTCTGCTCTCCACAGCTCATAGCGGCTTCAACATTTTCCGCACAATAAGTGTGTGAGCACTTCTATACTTTCACACGATCCGACATAAAGATCATATAATAAGTAATCTGATGTACCATAAAATAAATAAATAGACATAACTAAATCTGCAGCGCTCGTTTTATTGTAGCTTCTCTTTATTGCACGAGCTTTTTCAGTCGGCATCCTCGTCCGCATCCATAAGCATCGTGATATTGATTAGATGACGCATGGTGGGTCTTCCGTGCGGGCAGTTCTGAAACGGAGCAGATTAGGGAAGCGTTTTATGCATGATGTACTGCTTATAGTGGCTACTTGTTGCTGCCGGAGCAGCGCTATATCTGGTAGGGCTTTATCAATGTTTGAATAACTGCTCTTGAACTAAAACGACTTTTGTTATCTCCATAATCTGGTTAACAAACGAAACTTAACTTTGGGGATGTCTGTCGCAGTACATGAATTACAGCCGTCGGCGCCAGGCTGTGGAAAATCATTAGCCAATATTTCTTAAAGGCTCGTTAACTTGTCTAAAAGATATAATGGCCTCAAAAACTCAAAATGCTACTCAGCTGGACTCACTTGAACTTGCGAAGGCACCTCTAATGGCACAAAGTGGAAAAACGGTAGGCACAAATATATTTTTTGTTTTCTTCAGAAACCTTACAGAAATCCATTCTTTTTCTTGATTCCCTCATAGCATCGGCCCCAATGGACTAAAGCGCTGACTTGGGCCAGCATTGGTTCTACGCTTGGAACTGCTGTACCAGCGGGTTACTGCACCGGTGTCGTGAATAGTCCAGCCGTAGTAAGTAGAATCGTAATCTAATATTACAAAATATTATCATTATCTGTGGATTTAACAAATCGATGATCGAAGTTAAATATTTTTTATAGATTAGAGCTCGCTATTGAGTTGGTAGACCTGGTAGATACATACATATGTATAGACGACAGCATAGCGAGACGAATCGATATGAATAGTATGTAAAGAGACAACACGGCACGTATACTTTCCTTATCTATACGCAGACCAATTTTATTCGAAACCATATAATCTAGCCTCCTTAGTTTATATAGCTGCCATAAGACTGATCGGTGCAAAAAATTACTTCTGCTAGAATGTCTGCTTGTTTACTAAGATATATGTATCTACCAACTTAGATTTTTATGAGTTTTTATAGAGCCGCAATATAAACTTACGAGCTCGTGCGGCCACGCTTAAGTTCAGCTGCCCAGAACTTACAGATTTAAATGATGGGAGAGAGTCTCCAAAGATAGCGTCTATCTCGTTTTCGATTTGCGTAGGCGTATTGCCCCTCAAAAACAAATAGTAACTGTAGGATATTCAACTTGTTTAAAAGCACTGATATCGACTTAGTCGATTGTTGAACGATAACTATTATTACGACATGGCTGAAATTTGGGCGCAAATCGTTAAAAGATGACTGATCATAGAACTGCAAAATAAAAGTAATCGAAGTTGACTGAATCGATGTTTGTGCATTTAGGATATTTTCTCAAAAATAAAATTAATTAACTGAACAAAATACAATTTTTGTAGTTCTGGGAGAAATCATATATAATCAGCGTCCCTCTAAAGTAATGACTTTATGCGATTAATCAAACAAATCAATAATTAAATGGCAATCATCGAATATTTCGATTTTTTGCCGCTCTACCTGATCAGTGATAACACACGAAAGTTTAGTTAGTGTAAGAGGTCGTATTTGTCGCCCGGCTAGAAATATGTAGGACTGGCGTCATAAATGACTCTTAGTACTAAAACCCTAGGATTAGTTATTTTAGTAGAACAACTGTGATAAAGAGCTGGACGGGTACCCTGCAAGAGTCAAGTTAACTCATTTTTAAGCTTTACATGCTGAATCTTCTATCGCTTCACAGCACATGCGCGCCTGGTGCAACGAGACTCTGATTAACCGCTATGACCTTCACCTGACCGACTCGGGCATGGAATTGATATGGTCGGCAATTGTGTCCATCTTTCTTGTGGGTGGAGCAGCCGGCTCCCTAACAGGTGCCTCAATTGCCAACAGATTTGGACGCCGCAGCAGCTTTTATATATGCGGCATGCTCATGTCCGGCGGTGCGGCTTGCTTTTTCTTTTGTCGTCTCCTGGGTTCTGTGGAGTTGCTTATTTTGGGCCGCTTGTTGGTGGGATTAGCAGCTGGGCTGACGACAACCTTCCTAGCCATGTATCATAGCGAGATGGCAGCACTGGAACAAAGAGGTGCCCTGGCACCACTCTGCGGCATGGGTCTGACGGTGGGCGTCGTGTTGGCACAAATCTTTAGTTTGCAAACGGTTTTTGGTGGTGCCGATCGTTGGCACATCGCTCTCAGCTTCTATGCGGTTTTCGTTATTATTTCCTTTGCACCCTATAGATGCTACCCAGATAGCCCCAAATGGTTATACATTGTGAAGGGGAAGCAGGAGGAAGCCAAAGCGCAGCTGGAAATACTTCGTGGCTATTCAGCAGACACTGAAGAATTAAAAACCGAGTTGGCCAACATGGAAGAGGAAGCCACAGCCAAGAGTTCGACAAGCGGTTTTAGCGAGGTACTACGAAACCCCCGTCTCCGTCTCCCTCTGGTTCTTGTGTGCGCCTACCCAGGTGGTCAGCAGCTGTCGGGCATAAATGCGGTCAGTGGAATGCAATCTGAAGTATTGATCACAAACTTATCATACTCTACAGATCTTCTATTACTCAGTGTCGATCTTTTTGAAAGCTGGTCTCTCCCAGAGAGCAGCGGAGTGGGTAAACTTGGGTGCGGGATCCGTAAACTTGGCGGGCGCACTGTTCGGTCCACTACTAATGGCACGTATAAATCGCCGTCCACTGATGCTGTTTTCAAGCTTCTTCTCTATGGTATTCCTGTTTCTCTTTGCTATGATGCTTTACTATATTGTAAGTAATTCTTGGTGGAAAAACACTCAGTTTCTGACTCGTGCTTTTCTCTCATAAGGAGTCCTACAGATGGTTCGCCATGGGCTGCGTCGCCTGCATCTTTCTTTACATATTCGTCTTTCAACTCGGCCTCGGTCCAATTCCATTTTTCATTGGATCAGGTTAGTAATTGCTTATTCTTTTTAACATTTTCACCATACTTTTTATTTTGCTTCACTCTGCAGAACTCTTTGAAGTAGCACCACGTCCAGTGGCTATGGCCTTGGGAAGTGTTTCCTCCTGGAGCTGCAATTTCATTATCGGCATGACCTTTCCCAGTTTACAAAATGCTTGGGGCGCTCTGGTATTTCTACCGTGCTCGTTCGTTTGTCTGCTGATTTTCTGCCTCACAAAACGCTACTTGCCGGAGACGCGCGGTCGCGATTCATCTGCCGTAGCCCCTTTGATGGCCGACGGTTTTAAATCTAAAGTGCATTAGATATAAGATGGTGCCTTGATTTATAGTACCACCATAAGTTGGAAATAAATAAAATACCAGGTAGCCTAATCCCCTAATCAGATAAACGCCATAAATTTGGAAAGGAGGCTTCTTATTAAATACAGCAGAATGTCTGAGTGAAATGGCAGTTAAGATTCTGCCGGTGGTACACGAGGAGCCAAATATGTCCGGCATTAAGAGTTACGAATTTGAAACCGAGTGTTCTTTGGGGGAGTCCAAGCAGCCAAAGTCTAAGGTACACCGATGAGGTCTTTAGATTCATCCTTGTTATCTCTATCTAATAACATTATCTGCGCAGTGGACAAGGCTGCTGGTGTGCACCACTTTAGGCAGCACTTTTGGAGCTGCTGTTCCTGGCGGATACTGTGTGGGTATCATCAATAGTCCGGCTGTGGTGAGGTTCGCAACTCGTCCGCAGCTACATTTTCCTAACCGTATCCAATCCCAAAGCATATGCGAGCCTGGGTGCATGACACGCTTGGCAAAAACTATGGACTTCTCTTATCAACAACTGCTTTGGACACCTTCTGGGCACTGATAGTTTCCATCTACTTGATTGGTGGTGTGCTTGGATCAGCTGCGGCTGGCTGGGCCGCCAATCGTTTTGGCCGCCGTGGCTGTTTTCTGCTGAGCGGTTTGCTGCTCCTAATAGGCGCCGCTTGCTTTCTCTGCTGTCGTTGGATGCACTCGGTCGAGTTGCTGCTGCTCGGCCGCGTTATAGTCGGTCTCGGCTCTGGTCTGATTACCACCAGTCTGCCCATGTATCACAGCGAAATAGCATCCATTTCACAGCGCGGTACTTTGGGTGTTGGATGTGCGCTGGGCTTCTCCATTGGACTGGTATTTGCTCAGATCTTCAGCTTGCAATCGGTATTCGGCGGGGAAGATCATTGGCACATTGCTCTCTGCTTCTATGTAATATTTATGACTGTTTGCTACGCACCCTACCGCTTCTACGCCGAAAGCCCCAAGTGGCTATTCATTGTCAAGCATCGAAGGGAAGAGGCTCGGCTGATGCTGCAGCGTTTACGTGGGAATGTAAATCCTGCTGTTATAGATGAGGAGATGGCAGCGATGGAGCTAGAGACCCAATCGAAGTGCTCCACCCGCCGCTTGGGGGAAATATTACGAGATCCACGAATGCTTCTGCCGCTTGTTCTGCTGTTTGCCTATCAAGGTGGTCAGCAGTTGTCGGGCGTAAATGCAGTCAGTAAAGGACATAGTGCTATAAATTCAAACGTCTAGAATGTATGTTGCACTCCACAGATTTTTTACTACTCCGTATTGATTTTTCGAAACAGCGGTCTTTCCGCAAGTGCCGCCGAGTGGATGAACCTATGTGCTGGGAATGTAAACCTGCTAACCGCCCTTATGAGTCCACTCTTTATGGCAAAGTTCAATCGACGCATACTAATGCAACTTTCTACATTTTTCTGTGCGGTATTCCTCTTTGCTTTTGCCTGGATGGTAGAATACAGCGTAAGTAATTGAGTTAACTATCAACTGCGAGCGGAGATATAAACGATCTTTGTAGGCACAGGTACCATGGTTCTCAATAACATGCATGGCTTCCATTTTTCTGTATCTGATCGCTTTTCAATTGGCTTTGGGGCCCATGCCGTCGTTCATTGGTGCAGGTTAGTTATGGCAACTATAATTTGGTATTTTCTCCTATTATATTCAAATTTCTTCTAATACATGTACTCAATTTTAACTATTTATTATATTATCTTCTATTTCTTATATTCCACCACCTACTATAGAGCTTTTTGAGGTATCATCGCGATCGGTGGCTCTATCACTTGGCAACCAGATTGGTTGGGCATGCAATTTCATCGTGGGCATGATTTTTCCAGCTCTACACACAGCTTGGGGCTCATGGGTATTTTTGCTTTTTTCGATGTTCAGCGCACTCTTGTTTCTACTGACGAAATTTTATCTACCCGAGACTCGAGGACGTGAAATATCATATGTAGCCAAGCTGGTTTCTCGCGGTTTTCGAAGCAATGTACATCAATAAAGAATTAAAACTAAAACTTACCCATGGCTGTTCGATTTCTCCCATATGGTTAATAAGTGTTCGCATTGTTGCTTTGTTCAATGGCTTGCCTATCATTACAGATTTACGACAGGCTCGCGATGCGAACATGGCGCGTACCCGGGAAGGTCGACAGACGGTGCCTTCTGGTGCGTCTTGTAACATAAAAATTAACTCATCGATGTCCTCCTTGCCGAACTCCCAATTTTTGCTGTAAGGCTTACCCAATAATCGAACTTTCTTGGTGCTTGGTGCTGAAAAGAAGCGCATGAAAACGTAATTAAATTCCCTCAGACACCAACTATACTTACCATCTGGATTAATCTCAAATTTGAATCCATTCTTTTCGAACACTGATAGATGATCGAGAAGCACCATTTCGTTCACAGTCGTCAGCTCGAGTGTTTGAGGCACTGTTAGACGCTGGTATTGAAGTTCTGTAGTCTGTTGAAGTGTCTCAAAATTATATTTCTCATCTGTGGCATGTTGGTCTACAATAAACAAGTCATCGTCTAGCTTAACTATGATGAACCCTAAATTAAACTGTCCTATAATGTCCATCCGATTGAAGTCTTCTTTGCCAATTTCCTTTTGCAATTCAGCCTCAGCTTTCTGATTTTGGTTAGGATTTATATCGCTTTTAAATCTTAAGCGCTCCAGCTTGGCTCGTTGCTTTTGTTCGCCTATCTGACGCTCCTCGGCCTTTAACTTGAGTGCGATTTCTTCTATTGTGGTTCGAAGTTCGCCACATGTATAGGTGGAGTGTTGATCATCTGCCTGAGGATCGTCGAATTCAATGCGCGTTGCCAATTCTATTTCGCCTTCGCTAGAATCGTCCTGAGTGGTAGGCAATACCGACTCCTGGCGCAAGCCCAAGGTAGTCTGTTCCGCTTCTTCTTTGGGTTTCTTTTCTATAAAACTAAGGAGTGGTTTAGCTGGCGTGCTGACCTTGCAATCAATGCGAGTAGCTTCCACCTTAATTGGTGTGGCCTTCTGTGTCAATTCGTCATAGGCTATGGAAAAATAATTTTATTAATACTGATCTATGGTTCCTAATGTGTGCGTTATTTACCCAACGAACCCGTTTTGAGCTCCACAACATTTGGTATGCTTTTATTTGGACTCTGTTCTTTTTTTGCTGGCGCGGATGCTGTGTCCATATCTGATGAGCCGTCAGATTGGTAGCTAAGCTCTTTTGATGGCTCTTCTTGCGATAGAAATGCCTGAATTTTTTGAATCTTTAAGGTACGTGCAGCGAGTTCGTCGTTGCAGCGTCGCTTTACAGACACTGGCGGCGCGACTCCTTTAGTGTCACCCGTACGACGCCATTGGGTGAGAACATCCATGAAACGCTGGGATGAGGACACGGGTACGTCGCTATCCTCACTTAAAGAATTTGCACCGTTTTCCATCTCAGTTTTTGTTGGAGCAACAGCTAATGAAGCGTCCTTAGGCTTGATGTCCAACATGCTAACAATCGTTGAGTTTTGTAATGTGAATGTAGACGGAGTGTTGCCAAATGTGTTGAGTAGAGCCTTCTTCAGTGCCAGCAGCAGGATTTTCTCATTATTTAGAAGCAACTGACGTTTATCCGGCGTTAGGTTCACGTCGACATCCTTGCGAGCTGTTAAAATGTTCAGATACACAAATGGCTGCTGCTGACCATTAAACCGATGGTAGACATCATTCAGAACTTTGGATACCTGATGGCACAAAAAATAAAATGGTTAAAATATATTATGTTTTGCATTGCTGGTTTTAATTACATTCTTTAAGTCACAGGGCCTTGAGTTGACGTAATAGAACTGACGATCTTTGGAAGATCTACCAGCACCATGTCGGCAACTGGATATATACCCTTCAAGCTGGAAGTCATCTTGATTGAGACGTTCTACATCTTCAGAGCTAAACTGCGTGCTGTCAGCCGCATTGTCAGATTGCAGCTCAGCGCGCAAGGACTCCTCACTAAGTTGGCCACCTTCCAAAGGCGATTTAAGTGGCACAATGTCCGCCACTTGACGCGTACCAAATACCGCGGATATGTTGGCCAACACATCTTGAGACCCGTGCGTCTGCAGCACCACAGTTTTGACGCCTTTAGTTGATTGATTGCTACAAATAATGCGCACACCCTTGGAGACCATGCAGTATGCCTGAAGAATGTGGCACATTTTGGTGAATTCTTTCTTGATGTTGCGACTAAAATCCCGTCGTCGTACCGGCAGCGTCGCGAAAAGGTTTGACAGAGTCACTGTAGTTCCAACACCGCGGGCGCATGGCGCACGTTTCTTAATCATGCCCTCATGGTCGAGCTCCACTCTTATGGCTAAAAGCAATTTAACACACATATAAATATAAAATAGATTTAAAAGGATGCTAATCTCATTAGACTTACCTACGTCGGCTGAGCTGTGGCGCGTTTGTATGGCCATATCGGATAAGGCACAAAGCGAAGATAAAGCCTCACCACGAAATCCAAACGTCTCCACGCCAAGCAAGTCATCGAACTCCCGTATTTTAGAAGTATGGTATTTTGCGGCTGCACAATACAATTTTACAGATTCCGCCTAATTGGCTTCTAAAATATGCGAGACTTACTCATGCCCTCCAGATTGCTCTCGGCTACGCCGCTGCCATTGTCGCTAACCTCGAAGCCCTCTAGTCCCTGATCCCGCAGTTTTACCTCGACTAAGGTGGCGCCCGCATCGATGGCATTCTCTACCAGCTCCTTAACGGCCACTGCTAGGCTAAGAACAACCTGTTGGCCGGAAAAAAAACATTTTATAGCTTTGGTTTTGCATTTATTTGACATCATGTGTACATACTTGACCAGAGCATATTTTGTGCACTGTGTCCTTTGCGATGGCCTTGATTTGGCTTGATGGAGCTGTTGTGGGCACTGGCACGTTTACCTCATCCTCAATCTCTGTCATTTTGAAACAAAATTCTTTCGCATACCCGCGAAATTCGCTTTAGTAGGTGCAGTGTTGCCCCAGCACCAATTTTAAAAAAGTGTTGCCCCGCTACGAGTACTATGAATAATTTAAACGTTTACTACCAAACTGCATTAAGCCGCTTCATCACTTCATTTAAGCATTAAACTATCATAATGTTTATTTCTTTGTATACTTGTACCTGCTTTAAGTTTACCCAACTATTAAAAATCGAATAAATATAACAATCTTTACGATTTTTCATAACATATAATGTTACGAAACATTTTTTTAATATGACGGCTATTTAAAAATAAATTAGCGTATAGAATTTAAACACATAAAATAAGTCTACTTTATTTGTCGAGAATGTAGGTCATAAAAAAATTTTATTAATAAATCTGCATAAGATATGTCATAGAATTTTTCAAATTATATTATGTCTTTTCCAAAACTCACACACCTGTAAAAGATTTTCGGAAATATGCACAATTTGAAAAAATTATATACATGTAGTATGCCCTGTAGTATGTTTTCTAAACAATTTTGTGGAAAACGCGTAGGAAAGCTATTGTACGGCGCCTGCCCTAGATCAGCGGCGATTCGTAATTATGTGGAAGCAGTACCTTTAAGTGCTGAGATGTTTGAGAGCTCAAATACGGATGCTGCCGCAGTACCTGTCATCATAATGCATGGAATATTTGGCTCGAAACAAAACTGGCGGAGTATCTGTAGATCCCTGACTAATAAAACTAAGCGACGCATCTATGCGGTGGATGCGCGGAATCATGGCGATAGTCCTCATACCGCAATTCACAGTTCGGAGGGCATGTCCGCCGATGTGCTGGCTTATATGAAGTCCATTTACTCGCAGAAGGCTTGCCTGATTGGTCACAGCATGGGTGGCCGAACCATGATGTATTTCGCCTTGACTAATCCGCAACTAACGGAGCGCCTGATAGCCGTGGATATATCTCCTATTTCTATTCCCCGCACATTCGCTGGCATGAATAAAGTGTTTACTGCAATGCTGAAAATCTCCGTGCCGCCCAACTTAAGCCTGGGCGAGGGTCGCAAACTGGTCATGAATCAAATGAAAGAGGCCACAGCTTATCCGGATATGGTTGACTTCATAATGCCAAATCTTCGGAAGAAACCCGACACAGGCGAGTTTTACTGGGCCTGCAATGTCCATGCTTTGCGCGATAGTTTACCCAACTTTGAAAAATTCAAATCTTTAATATCGACTCTGCCACCATATAGTGGGCCCACTATTTTCATTTGTGGCAAGAATTCCGTGTTCGTCTCTGACGACCATTGGCCGCAGATACTCAAGCACTTTCCCAATGCAGAGATTCAATGGCTCGATGCTGGCCACATGGTGCACTTTGAGCAGACGGAACTTTTCGTCAGAGCTGTGGCCGACTTTCTGAATAAATAATATAAAATGTTCAAATTGTACCAATCAAAAAATAAAGGGAGATACATCTAATTCTTTTTTTACACGGTAGATTAGTTCCAGAAAAAGTCGTGTAAAAAAGACATTGATCACGTGTTATTTTAAATCGTGCTAAATGGAATAATATCGTGTAATATATCACATTTTTATACCCTGTACCCAAAGGGTGAAAGGGTATACTAGTTTTGTAGTAACAGACAGAAGGAGGCGTGGCAGAGCCCTGAAAGTATATATATTCTTGATCAGGATGACAAGCCGAGTCGATATAACCATGTCCATGTCTGATATAGCCACGTCCATGTAATTTTGTTCTTGTTCATACTTATTCACGAAATTAAGGTAGATTTTTTGTCATTTAACGACCATTTTCATTTACAATGTTTTTGAATTTTTTGTTTTAATTTAACTATTAAAGGCTTAGCATTTTATTAGCATCAATTTGTTTATACATAATTGAACCATAACTTTGTAAAGCTCGACTAACGTGTATGAAACTTATTTCCTTGTCTATCTATAATATTATTTTCCAACACTTTAGCATGTTCAAGATCTGCAAATCAACCATATATCGTTAGCTAACCGTATGACAGTTCTTGGAATTGTTTTTCTACACAAATTGATTTCCGGTGATGTTGATTTCTTTGTCAATTTAGGTCAAACTTTTTGCCACTTCTGCTCAACACACGCACTACTGATTACAGCACTAGTGTACAATCCACTGATCACGGATTGGCTACTCAGCCTTGCTTCCTTCCCCCACGTGTCGATGGTTCTCCGTTTTCTTGATATTTCCTGGTGAATCCCCGATTGCATATAATTGTGATTTCTCTTTCATGTACTATAATTAAATAAATAAATCCTACTCTGAAAATGTTTTTATAGTACATACGTACACTTTTGTCAAAGAAGAAATATGATTTTTCGCTTATACAAGTATCTTTGTAAGGCCACATCTTAAGTTTATGATTTTTCCTTTTCTTTCATAAAACTGCATTAGTTTTTAAATAAATACATTTGGTTCTGTCAGAAAGCAAAATATTGGGTCGTATGTAGACTTTTGGCGCCCACTGTATATGTATGTGACCAAGTTTAAACTGCACAAGATTTAGATTCAGCTAAGTTTCCAGCAATAAACATTTATTATTTGAACAAAACACAACTTGAACAATGAAGTTACAATAATATAATAATATGATCCTATAAATTAAGCTAAATGATACAATGGTGTATGAGATAATGTCAGATATAAATGTGATGGAGTTAATTTGAATGAAACCAATGGTCAAAAGTATTGAGGTCAATGTAAATATAGTATGACAATAAAAATAGATAGGGCTCTGAATAGGCGTGTACTTAAACTAATAGCTGGATGTAGCCACAGGGTCCATTAATGTGTGCTTTGCGTGTGATATCCGTTTGGTGCTTCAGTTATTTGCTCCTCTCGTTCGCTAGTCCCTCAAGCTTCTCAATGATCCTGTTCATGTCCAGGTCCTTGGCGATCTTCAGATACATGGTTTTGCGAACCTCATGGAATGTAACCCATACGGACATTTCTTTGGCGAGCAATTTCAGATGGGTCTCAATTTCCTGTGGGGTAAGGCTAGTGCGAAAGCTGTTTTGGATCTTCTTAATGACGATCTCCAGCGTGAGTACGCTCTTGCGTTCCGTAACGAAGACGTTCCGTAAATGACGTGCTAGTTCAGGCAGGCGAGAGTATTTGGTAGCTTCCTGGTCCTGCGATGGCCTGCGTGTCATTGCGTCTAATGCTTTGGCCGCTTGTTTGGCCCGAATTTTCTCTATAAGACTTTTTGGCAGACCCTTTAGGAGATTGGATGTCCCATCTGCGATTGCAGCATTGATTGGTGTGGTGGTTTCAGTCGGCGCTGGGACGGGTGTGTCCTTCTTGGAAGTAGTTGCTGGTTCCATTGTGGCTTCCCCACTAGCAGGCGTTTGCTCTGCATTGGATTCCACTCTAGATGGGGTTGCTTGACTGGCCGATTTCTCCGCACAGTCTCGATCGGCTTCCAGCTTGGCCTCGTAGCGTTGCATGGCGCGCTCCATTGGAGTGGCACAGTTGAAGAGATTGCGTGCGGTTGAAAGTATGTCGCGTGCAGAAGAATATTTTTCCACATTTGGAGGTTGTGGCAGTGCGCCACGCTCCACCTCAGGGCAGCTCTCCAGGTCGAAGTCCGGATGCCAACGCGTCACTTTATGCTTGTCAATAGAGAGAGGTGGGTCCAGAGAACGGATGAACTTATCGTGCGTGTCCTTAACACGCTCCATCAACAGGCTCTGAAAGCGTTGCATGCGCGCAGTCATGATGTGTGGGTTCATTGACGTCGACTGGGCCGACGCGAGCACATCGTCCTCATTGATTTTCTTCAGGCGTTGTTGTTCCGGCAGCTGCTCCACGTTCGGGCTAATGACCAACTGGAAATAGTCGGCCTTTGACACAGACCCATAATTCCGCATCTTCATCTGTGAGAATATGAAGGCGTCCGGATAGATGTGTTTGATTTGCGCCAAATGTGTTTCCGTGAAATTCTTTCGTAGCATGCGTTGTACTGCCGGTTTAAGTTTCTTGAACGTAATGCATTCCTTACGATTGTGAAACATTGCAACCACCGAGTCCACGCCCTTGAAAATTTCAATGAGGTGACGGTACTTGTAGGGCAAAGGCAATTGGCCAGCTTTGCTCGTTTCGGCCAGGCTCATGAAACGCTGGTAGGCCGGTTGCATAACCAACTTAACCGGAGATCCATTCTTGGCCGGACTGAAATGTAAGCGCTTAGATACGTCCGTATGACGAGGCGACATAAGCTCATGTTTGTCCGGTGTGGGTGGAGGTAGTTTTGTCGGTGTTTTGAAGGTCTTTGAAGGGCTGCAAGTGGAAATGGTAGATAATAAGAAAAGTTGTCTCTATTTCCTAATATTTTTAATCATAAGACTGCAAACTTTTTTGGCTAAATATGTGTTCAACACATCCACAAAAGAACTCTGCATAAATACAGTGTTAAAGGGGGTTTGATACCTTCACAAACTTCCCAATTAGTAATTATTTCCGGAACTTGTTTTTAAAGTGACATTTTCTGCTCAAAGTTTATGAATCGGAATGGGCCTAAATCTATTCGAACTTCTGACCTATGTTATTTTGTAAGCAGATACAATGAGTGTCTTGAGCTAAAGAAGTGGCAGTAAATATAAAAAAATTCGTTCCAATTTTCATATAAATCACACAAGAAAAAGTATATCGTTGCATTGAAATGTTTAAAGGACTTCTGAGATCGATAAGGTGCGGCAGAATAGAACATGTAAATATTTACGTCGAACTCCAAGTGGTTAATTAGGCTATACAGCATATCAAAAAAAAAATCAATAATAATATAAAACTATTTACAAAAGGGCATATTAGGATTGTGCAACGGCAGAGGTTTTTTTTGGGTGTAGGGTGTTTATCTGTCGGGCTTGCTTGGCTGTTACATTCTCTCTTGAGCTTGTTTGTTTTTTGTTTGATAAGTATCCATAAATCTCATGTGCATGCATAACTCTTATCTCAGCTATCCACCCCAGGAATAAAAAGTCCGTTACAAAATATCGTCAGTTGACTTTCTACCTGAGTTGGAAAACCATACACATTCCCATAGTCAGCCTGTGGCCAGCAACGATCGTTGGTAAGGATAAACAAAGAGAAAGAAACCAACCCCCGTTTCAAGGGAAAAATACAACCATAGCGACGCCGAAGGGTACACACACACACACACAAGCATAAGCAGACATTATGCAGACCAACAACATGTTAAGGGCATCTGGGAAATTGTCCGAAATACAAATTCAAGTACATCCAATACACATACATATGTACGAATGTATGTGCATACATATGCATGTGTGTAGTGGCCGCGTGTGTGACGTTCTCATAGACAACGTCACGATGAAATAACGGCAGTTAAAGCATTTTGGTGCGATCCAAGAAATGCAATCTCAGCATTAAGGGGCTTGAATAACAGACAACTGTGCAATGCTTCCACTTTATACATATGTACATATACCGAAGCATTCACACAGACCAAGACATTCCCAACAAGACGACCTCGATAGCAGTTGAAGAAAAAGAACTTTTTCGATGGTAATGATGTTACCCGGTTTTTTTCTCTACGAATGTTTTGTTTATGCCAATTCTAGGCCAACCCAAAAAGCGAACCGTAAAAATTATTGTGGAAGGCAATTAGGTATGTATGAGTGCTTCTCACCTTGCCAATACCTCCAGCTCAATGGTGTCGAACTCCTTGAGCTGCACTGTCGGCGCCTTGGCTGGCGATGGTCCGGCCTCACGCAGCTTTCGATTGCGCTCCTCCTGAGCCTTGCGCGTCTGCTCCAGCTGCTGTATGCGCGCCAAGGATGCCTTAAGTTCCTGCAGCTTGGCGCTGCGGCTAACCTTTGCCTTCACCTCATCGAAAGTGAGTTCCTTTTTGACTAGACGCTTCAGTTCGCCATGTTTGATGGGTGAAACGTCCTTGATAATTTGTTTAGTTGGTGTGCGCATGCCGCGCTGCACATTTGTGGCATTCTGCTTAGAGGCAAATGTAGTGTTGATTCTCGGTGTATGCTCATTTATCTCCTGCGCCTTGGGACCTTCCTCACTAGGTGGTGGCTTCCGAGGCGATAGTGATGCCTTCCTAACGAACTGTACAAGTTTTTGTTGCTTGGTTTGCTTTTCTACTTGTGGTGACGGCTCCACACCAATTAGTTTAACACTGCGTCCTGATCGGGTGCGCATACCCGTCACCTCTGCGGGTTCCGCAAGACGCTGTAAGCAAAGGCACATTTTTTAATCAGCAAACACTCAAAATAAAATTCGCAACATTTCGTTGCAAGCCTCTCCTACACAAACATACATACATATGTATGTACATATGTACGTATGCTTGTAGATATTTAAAAAAACACAGAAGAACTTGGCATTTATATACACATAAGCACTCATTACAATTCTTTAGTACACTTACCCTAGTCTTAATTGAGACTGCATCGTCCACTGCAGCACGTTTGCGATTGCTGAAGAATGCAGCTACTGATGGCTGAGCCATTTTATTTGTTGCAAGTGCAATAGTTATAGCTCTTTGGCAGAGAATTTTACTCCAATTGTTAAGAAATATTCATAAACTTTTTATATTCTAGTATCAATGTACGCGACGTGCCAACGCACTGCTCAAATTACTACTGCCACGATATTTTTCCCTCCAAAATGATCTGCAACCCCGAAGACGCGCCAATCATTTTCGCGCCTTTACTACTTGTGTTGCACTATGAAAAACAGCTGAGTGTGTGGTGTGATGTGCGTTATTCAACACTGATGTGATGCAGCGTTGCTTTTTGCGGAGTAGATTTTACAACTTGCGGATTTACGTGTGCGCGTAATTCTACCGATTTAAGCTGCATTGCAATGGGTTTTGCGACCCTAGCGGCTCGCAGTATCGCTGGAAGTTCATATTAAACCATTACAAACTATGTAAGTTGCAATCGGAAAGCGTCACTAGCTTTTTTACGCGGCTGCTGCAAAATAAGACTGCGCAAAAAATTGCAAGTAGGAATGATTGCCAACCCATCGTGCAACAAAGACAGCAATAGGTTCAGTTTTAGCCCACGTGTGAGCGAGAGCAAAATGCTGACTTTCCTCTATTAGAAATGCTGCCAACTTCAATTCTATCAACTAGTTTCAAAATTGATTTTGAATTTTCAGAATAGTAGCTACGAATGGCGTGTTTGCTAAGATTCGGGCCAAGAAATTCAATGTGCAAAATTAAAACTTCGAGCGACTCGAGTTGTTTTTCTTATTGTCTCTAAACGCACATTTTTTTGCCAGCAAACAAGTTGGCAGCTCGTATTCCTCTTGGCATAATTCTGCTCGCCCAAGCTTTGTTTGATTTTTCTTCGCGTAAAATACGTTTTCCTTTAACAAAAGTCAGAGCAATAAAGTATTGTTCAGATTTCAGATGAACGCCAAATTATTCAGTTAACTTTTGGCAAAGCAAAAATATGAATTCGTGCATTTTTCGTAAACCGTATAATTGGTGATTTCAATTCGATTTTCTGTGCAGTAGCAGTGGCAAATTCCAGTGGTGGAGTGTCGACGGCAGCAGCAGAAGCAGCAGCTCATTGGAACAAGTGGAAGCAGTACGACGAAAGTAAACGATTTTGGCTGAAAAGCCCAGTTTGGCAAGGCGTGCGCACATAAAAATATCACGAACACGTAAACCTCGTCCATTGCCTTATTGAGGTTTTACCTATTTCTCATTTTCATCTTTTGCAACGGAACATCAACAGCTGTTACACACCGTACCACATACGGTGAAAATTGGCTGAGCACGAGAAAACGAAAACAGTACAAGAAATACAGACAGCATGAACTCAAAAGCTGACGTCAACCGCCGTGTGCTGGCCATTCAAGCGAAGAAGAAGCGTCATAAGAACAACAAAAAACGCGGTAAGCAAAATGGTGTTGGAGCTGTCAGTCCCCTGCAGGAAAATCAACAACATTCAGCCCAGAAGCTGCAGCCGAACGTATTGAGGACGGGAACGGAAAATTGCACGACGGCAGCACCAGAAAGTGCTAATAATAGCCACATAGAGGGCGCTAGTAAACACGAATTGCATGCTGGCAGCATCGACGATGAGATTGTGAAAGCTGCATTGTCCTTTAATAATGCAACAGCTTCCACGTCGAGCGGTTTGGTCAGCGCACCGGAGTCAGTTGTTAACCACTATCAGCAATCGCAGTCCCAATCGCAATCGCAAATTAAAACCAACACCAACAATATGCACAATCAACAGCCTCCTCGAAGCTCATCTAACGAGTCCGATGAATCGGAGTTAAATAGCGAGAATGAGGAGCAGGAACTTAAGGAGGACTATTGTAAGGGCGGCTATCATCCCGTTAACATTGGAGATTTATTTCAAGGTACGTAAATGTAATAATCATATAACAACGTGCCCTTCTTCCCGCTAAATCAGTTGACAGTGCACCCTTCTTCAGTTCCATGCTGGCGATGGCACCTGTTTGCACCTCTCAGGCTCAACCGCAGCCGTCACAAGCAGATTTTCTTCCTTTGCGTTTTGTTTGTTGCTTCTGTTCTATGTAATTGCATTTCACGTTTCCACAAGCTTTTAAGTCCCATAGCCGTTCATTACCATTTCCAGTGCGCCACATCGGCATTTCAACCCCACAGCGTGGCCTTAATGCCAGTGGCTGTGATTTAACCATTCCCTTTGTTTCGTGAACAACAACAGGTTGCCAATGTTACAGTCGTTCGCTTGGACGGGTTCGAACACGAAACGCCCATTTACACATGCACAGATACACAATTAAGTGCGTGTGTGTTGGTGATGGAGGTGGAGATATGCGGATATTGGGTTGGGGATGCGGATGTGGGTGCAGGGGCAAGGGTTGTTTGGACACAAATTTGGCTGCCTATGTGGTTGCTGGTAGCGACATCAATGTCGCTGCTGTCATCGTTGTTGTTTTTATCGGAAACGAGAACAGCAGCCTCAAAATTCTCAACCCCTTCCCAAGCATCATCCCACATTCATGCGCTTTGTTAAATTGCGCAGTTTCAATTTGACAGTTAAAAGTGCATTTTCATTTAGGATTGACTTATCCTTTTACTACCCTCAAAAATGGACAGCCATTTCAAGGTCTCTTAAAAATAAACTGAAACGAAGTGACAAATTCAAAACAATTTTTAGAATCCCGATAACCTTGAACTATGATAAGAACAAATGATAAGGTGGCACATGTTCGACGTACCTATTCTGTATTAATTTATACATAGTTTAATTACACTATAATGCTTTCGTATTGTGAAATTAAAATAATTCACTGGGCTTTAGCGCTTTCCCTAAATAGGTTACTAAAGATCATGCTTGTCCATTTATGCGCAAAGCCAATGTGCCATGAAATATACAACCCCATTTGCCGCCTGCACCATCCCCCCGTTGAGTTGGAGACTTATGAGCAATTTGCTCTCGGTGCAGTTAATTGAATTTCCAGCGCTATGCCTGTGCTTTTGTATTTGTAACTGTAACGGATGTCAGTCACTTGCCCAGAGACTGACCGCACAGTAACTCACAAAGCGTGTGGCGAATAGTTGGAGTGATACTGACGCGATTAAAATGGATTTTTTGCCATCAAAGGCGAACATTTGTGATTTCATCTTTCTGAGTGGTGTGTGTACCTAACAAAGCTTTGACCCTTAATCAACTCTTCCCCAAAAGATCACTGTGATGGATCATAAAGTAAAATTCTCTTGTTTATCGACAGGACGCTACCATGTCATCCGCAAATTGGGTTGGGGTCACTTTTCGACCGTGTGGCTTTGCTGGGATCTACAGGAGAAGCGTTATGTAGCCATCAAGATTGTAAAGTCAGCGCCACACTTTGCCGAAACGGCTAAAGATGAGATCAAGATACTCAGAACGGTGCGAGAAACGGATCCAGCGAATCCGCGTCGGCAGAAGACCGTGCAGATGTATGACGACTTCAAGATAACTGGCGTCAATGGCACCCATATATGTATGGTGTTTGAGGTGCTGGGCGATAACCTGCTGAAGCTTATACGCAAATCCAACTATAGGGGCATACCGCTAGAAAATGTCAAGGCGATAACACGACAGGTGCTCGAGGGCCTGGATTACTTGCACAGCTGTTGCAAGATAATACACACGGACATCAAGCCAGAGAACGTGTTGCTGTGCGTCGATGAACCGCACGTCCGTTCCTTAGCCACGGAGGCCACACAACTCTATTGTATGAATTCGAAGATGTATCCATCATTGGTAAGTCGCGCGCCCAAGGAATATCGTGAGCCGCAAATCACCGGCAAGATGAGTAAAAACAAGAAAAAGAAACTAAAGAAAAAAGCGAAGAAGCGCATGGAGTTGTTCAAAAAGCAGCGCGATTATTTGGAACAAGCTGGAGATACGCGTTTACCCGGTGGTGCTGAGGAGTATGCTGTCGAGGAAGTCGCTGACAATCACAACGCTTCCCAGAATGGCGATGGAGGCTCTGATTTGGACGAGAGTGGCGAAAGTCCGCTAGCAAAGCAAGTGCAACAGCTGGCCCAGGTGGATCTGGATGATGATGGAGAGGACGTTTATGCCGAGGGTGATGGTGATGACGAAGATGCCACTGAGTCACCGCAGAAGGGATATTCTCAAAACGCTGGTGGTGGTGCGGCTGAAACTGTAAGCGCCCTGGCGGTCAATGAGAAAGCTAAAAAGAAGAAGAAAAAGAAGAATAAGAGTAAGTATTTGTGGCAGTTCCTCTTATACATATTATACACGTATTTGATTCCTTTTTCCGCAGATAAGTCCATCCAGCAACAATTGCAGTCCAATACGCAACAGATCCTTGAGAACTCCACGAGCAGCGGCGACAGCAGCAACGTAGTGAAGCCAACACAACAGAATTCGAACAGCAGCAGCAACTCAAGCACACTAAAGGGACAATCCAATGATGCCTCCAAAAAGAAGTCGCCGCAGTCCAAGCAGCAGAAGCCAAATAAACTGCACCAACAAAAACGGCAGGATCAGCAGTTAAACAACAACGTTGCGAAATCAAATTCGATACAAAACCACTCAATTCGAATTATAAACAATAAAATCTCAAGCAATTCGTTGGATACGTCCTCATCGTTATCGGCGAATGGCCCCTATTCGGAACCCATACTGCCCCCACCTCCACCGCCGCCTATGAAACATCGGCCCTTGAAACGGGATCCGGCTCTGGAAGCCTGCAATGTGCGTGTGAAAATAGCCGATCTGGGCAATGCCTGCTGGGTGGATAGACACTTCACTGAAGACATTCAGACGCGACAATATCGTTCGCTTGAGGTCATTCTCGGCGCTGGTTACGATACGTCCGCTGATATTTGGAGCACGGCCTGCATGGTCTTCGAACTGGCCACGGGTGACTACCTGTTTGAGCCGCATTCGGGAGACACGTACTCACGCGACGAGGATCATATCGCGCATATTATCGAGCTGCTGGGACCTATACCGCGACAGATCGTATTTCGTGGCACCTACGCCCAACACACGTTTAACCGCAACGGAGAGTTGCGAAACATATCGGGTCTAAAGCCATGGGGACTGGTAGATGTGTTGGTTGAAAAGTACGAATGGTCACAGGTCGATGCTGAGGCATTTGCCGCGTTCCTGAAGCCCATGCTTGAGTTCGATCCGGCCAAGCGTGCCACGGCTGCGGAATGTCTGCAGCACAAGTGGCTTAGATAAGATACGATGCAGCCTGGTTGTTGGTTGCGAACCAGCCAACCAGCAGGAGCAGCAGCAGCTTATGTGCAGTCATCAGCATCAGCAACCACATTGGCTTCCATATCTTCCATAGCCTCCACCTCGGCCGCAGCCATGGCCGCCTTGCGTGCTCGTCCCTTTCATATATCGCCGTATATTTCAACTGCCTCGGCCCCGCCAACTCCACTGCCACCAAGTGCGACAGCGGTAACGGCACGCACCGCACCACCAACGCCTGTTCGACACACAGCTCCACATAACATCTCTGTAAGGGAGGCAGATTTCGATGACGGGGATGGTGACGAAGTGGACGATGACGATGATGACGATAGCGACAGCAGCAGCAACAGCAACAGTCTCAGGGCTGGTGGCGAGGTCGTCAACATTTTTGGCGGACATAAACCAATGGCCGATAAAACTAATGACATTGATACTGGAGCTGATGAGGTGGGCGATGGAGCTCGCATAGCCAAATCAAAATCTCAGCGTTTCTTTTGGCGCAGGGCGTTGCGTCGTGTGTTCCAGCGTCGCAAGTGACGTCAGCTGCGGCGTCGCCGGCAAGACCTGCCTCGTTGGCGACCGCGTCGCTGCCGGCGACGCACCTTGACCGAACGCTTTAGTCGCGTATGCGGCTGTTGCAGTTACGGCCAAGTGCTGCTGAAAGCCGCAAGCGTTGCACTGTTAAGTTGCATTCGTTGGCGCACACGAGGCAATATACAGAACAACAACTTTTGCTTTAGCTCCCACTAAAAAAAGAGCTCTATTGTCCAGAATGCTGCATTTTAAGACGCGTGTTGCTCCGTCGTTCAACCTGAAATAAAAATACGAACATCGCTCTGCACACACACACACACACAACTATATATATATACACCAATTGGATCATACCTTATTTATATGTAACTAAAATCGAATTAGTCTAATAATGAGCTCCATAAGTTATTATTTGTGTTTTACACTGATTAGACAATTATTGCTTTTTGCCACCTATGAAATTATAATTTAATATTGAATGATGTATACCACCTATTTTCCAATGTACTGTTATTTACGGCTTACTTATGCACCAACATTCAGATATATATATATATACACACATATCTGTTTTTAAAACAGATTAGCAAACAAACTAAATTATATATATAGAAATTCTACTAAATTAATCGAAAACAAAAACTGGCGAATTCCGGTTATTAAAACAGAAAATTTCACGCATTTAATCACAAGTGCAGCATGTTTCGAATTCCAATTGGAGAGAACTAAATATGTTCATTAACAACTTAAACTTTGCCTTGAAAATATGTGTAAGATTATAAAACTTAATGAAACTAATGCAATAAATGAGGCGTTAGTTGAAGCGGAGTCCGGAACATGAACGATAATCTTTTTAATTATCCGAACTGGTGATCTAAAATGTATAATGGGAAACGGCAACCCTTTCTTATATTGCCTATTATCATATGCCTCGATCTCCGTCTGTCTTCTGCCAGTTCTAGAGATGTCGAGCGGAAGCTTTCTGTATAATAGAGAACCTAAACACCACACTGGAGTTGAAAAAATCATTTAAACAAATGTTTGTTCATGAAGACAAATTAAAAGATACGATTCAGACTCAGATCGGACCACTTATATAATAAGCATATAATTTGTTTTCGATATATTTTGTTGCTGTGTACGATCTCAAGAAAGTTCGCAAATACTGCTGGCCTTGTCATTTGTCAGTTAACAAAACCACAGGGATTCAATTTTTTTCTTTTAAATAATTATCAGTTGCTGGAAACCTGCCAAATAACGTCTAAATCAAGAGTATAGTGGAACCATTAACAAATGTTCAACAACAGATTTTTAATATAGTAACATCAGTGAATAAATGCACTTCCGCGTGTGTGTGTGTTGTGCATTGTAATTTAGAAAAAAGCTGCACACAGCAAGTTAAATAATAATAAACTAACATATAGTTAAATATCCAACAGTCATGCCATATTGATTAGTTAAGAGCAACAACAGCAACACAAGCTTATGGCTGACTGTCCAAACCAGTGGTTTTCTAAACATATGTAATTGTAAATGAAATGCATAATTGAGCTGAACATAACAATAATGATGTAGTTTAATTAGTTGATCCTCCTCCTCCTCCTCCGTGCACAGGAGGGGTGGGCTTAGAGATGAAAAACATGCAAAATCTGATTATCCTATTACACGACTCTACGTAACAGGAAATGCAATTGAAAAAGCTTAAATTTGAGCGAATCTAGCGTTAATTGGAATTCAATAATAATCAGTACACAAACAATGCAACCAACCAACCAACCAACTAGCAAGCAAGCAAACAAAATTTAATATGCCTAATGCAAAGGACTAAGCCGAATTATTTAAATGAAATGTAGCCAGAGGAAATAAGAGTTTCTATATACTATACTCGTATATATGCACGAGTATGTATGATCAAACCAAAATAGCAATAAATGCTAATTTCAAGTAATCTGTTAAATAATAGATAATAGCATTGGCTGCACTCTTTCAAAGTACTGGTAACCGACCACCCCCCTCACTGCTAGGAATATTAAATGCTATGTATCACCTACACTATACCACACACATAAATGGCACAGTCACTGACACAACTAAGCCTCTAAAATTTAAAACAAATAAACGATTGCAACAAAAAAAGGCCACTTTAGATTTGAGCGAAGAGGGAACTGGTCAGCAGATTTAGCCAACATCTGAAAAGAACTTGCAACAATACAGAAATTTACATAAGCTGTTACAAATATTCAATGTTTTTCACGCATATATGTGCGTGTGTGTGTGTGTGTGTGTGTCTTTGTAATACTGACTATTAACTATGCTAAGTGGCCTTATTAATTCGGTTCTATGCACGAATGCACCAGCCTCACACACACTTCAGAGACACATCAACACGATCAGACACACTCTCACAGTTACACTTAAAAAGCATTAATCGATCTAAGCTTAAATTAAATGTAAATCCTGAAATAGTTGAAACTTATTGTAAAACTCAATGTTAGCAACCAACACAGAGAACCAGAGAACAATCCTAATGTCTACTACTTGTATGGAATAAACGAACAAAACAAAGACGCAATTCAAGCTACCAATAATGTAATTTAAAATTTACTGATCTGCTGGCTTGCAAATATGTCCAATATACTTGTATTGTGGAAAAAGAATATCAATCCATACATATGTATGCATGTATGCAGTAAGCAAGCCCGATATATAATGCATATGCAATATATTCATGTTGATATTGAGAAGACACCATTGTGTGGTACTCGTAAATGGCCGTACTCCAACCATGTCGACAGTTAAATAAATTAATCGATATACAATATGATATATACGATATGTAATTTATTGATGTAGTTATTAAAGAATAAACCAAATTACACAAATTGCAAAATGGAATAAGAATGTGTGTGCGCAGTCTTTTTATCAGCAAAAATAATGGTAAGCAAAAAAAGTCAGTCCCATAAGATATCCCTTCTATTATTGCTCGATTATATTTTTAGAGTTCTTAATAAAAAGTACGGTTAAGTGGGCGTACCATGCTAATCCCATTCTATCGGTCGATCTCGAGCCCAACGCTAAACAATATATTTTTTCCATGATTGCACACTAAATAGGATCTTCAGGTAAGCTTTTAGCTTTTGCTGGGTATTCTAGTATTTAAGGACGAGCCAGCATGTATGCATTCTGGTTATACACTTGTAATATACCCATTTATATCTGAACAAATCTCTTACAACTTTTTTGTTTAATTAAAGTGTGCCAGATCGTCGTTATAGAAATTTCTCTATTTTATAAAGACTATATTATTTACAAATTCAATGTTTTGTTGTTTTAATTTGCAATATAATCGGTTTCTATTCCGTATTTGGAAAACCGAAAATATGTCAAAAAATATGTGAAGCATTTGTAAAGATACAAATAGGATCTGTGCTATTTTGTTTTTGTAGCAAATAGTAGGTATTTTTACTCTATACATGAAATGTACATGAGTGTACATATTATGTTTGCGGGAGCTGAAAAAGTAACCGGCAGAAGGAGGCGTGGCAGACCCCAAAAGTTATATATATTCTTAATCAGCATGACAAGACGAGTCGATCTAGCCCTGTTTGTTCGCCCATATGAACATCTGGATCTCAGAGACTATAAAAGATAGAGATAATCATCTTTAACTCGTATTTCTGAATTAAAAATTATTTAAAATTTGTATTTTATAAAAATCTATAATTATTCTACACACATGTACAGAGTATTTCAAAGTTAGGACTTAATTATATTTTTAAATTCGTTGAATTTATTTGTTCTCCAAATAGAGATAAATTTTCTTCCAAATCAATTGTTCCGAGGTAATTTTAGGGAAAAATATTTAGAATATCTCTTTGATTGAAAGTAACAGAACCTAGCGATTTATAGTACATATTTCATAAATAATCAAGCATGAAATTTTAAAAAACATACCGTGAATAAAAAGCTTTATTAAAAGCAAAAAAACATTTATAAATACACGGAGTTAGAGGAGAAAATCTCTGAATTGTGACTATTGCACCTTTAGCAAGGGTATTTTCGCTTCGGCGTGCTGTTTTTACCGGCTGAAAAATTACCGCATGTACCGTGAGCCATCAATTACGAAAATATCCTTCAGGCTGTGCACTGCACAATGGCAGCATTCGTTTATATATAGTACATACATACATATGTACTTACTCGTACTCGTATATCGTTGTTGGCTGGCAATGGAAGCAATTATATATTGACATCAGCGTGCTCTGTCTCGGACCAATGTATAGAGATGAAATTTATGATCAAACAGAAATTGGACAGCACCAAAGTTTAGAAAAACTTTGTGCACAATTGAAAATTGGAATGCCGCAAAGCAATTGAGACAAGCAATGAAGGAACAGGGATATTTATTTTGCGCTGGCCACACAAAATGTCGCATGCTGGCAATAATCCCTTGACCTTCGACATGCCCATGAAATATAAGTATACATATATATCTAACTGTTGGCTGGAGAGTGAAGCACGTTTGTTTGGTTTTGGCCAAATGTTTGAAATTGAATTTCATGCGACGCGTGTTGAGCCAAGAGCATATGGATAGATTACCCGTATTATTGTCCAGAATGTGTATGCATGTCTTTATTGCTTTGTGTGGCGCCTTAAGGCATATTTGTAGCTCCTCAGGCTGTTGGTCATTGTTATGTAAGCGTACAATTGATTTTATTGCAGAAGAATCAACTTATTTGTCAGTAGAAGGCCGCTGCAGTAAACTTGTAGAATGTGACACCCACCGGATTGATGCGCGTGGTAAATACATCCTTCCCTTTAAATCTGCCCAAGGTTTCACTGGCATTGAAGAGATTCTGCAATATTTTATGGCACATTTTGGATGGTTGCACTTCTGTTTTTGTACTCTACTTACCAGTACCAGATAGCCCGTGGGATTTTCCAGTTTAAGGTCGTCCAGCTTAATTTGAAATGTTTGTGGACACAGGGGGCAAGACGGAAAGTCTCCGGTATTAACAAAGGCAACAGCATAGGAATATTGGCCAAGGGCGTTGAGCGGTGTGACGGGACGTACCCAAACCTAAAAGAAATCATCTATAATCTAAAGAGCAAGAACAGCTGCTTTCGAGCATGGATTTAGATCAAGTTTTAACTTTGAGAACTAACCACTCTTCAAGAAACTTGAAACAAATTAAGACGACTTAAAACTAGCAGATCGTAATTGGAATACAATAGTTGTTTTAACAGACATTCATACTACGCTGATAAATCGTTTTTCGTTTTGGGTACTGGATTTGAAAAACCTAAACGTTAGTAACGAAGTATATTTGAGTGGTAATTTGATCAAGCAATCATCAATTTGTTACAATTCTTAATGACTCTTGCATTACACAACTCTTTTGTAAAGAATACAGGCACTCTTCAATTTATTTATCACACCTGTACGTTTTCGTCGACCAACACACATTTTCCAGGTGTTCCAGAGGGATCCTGACTGATGGCTATAATATGACTAAAAGGGCATAAATATGTTTTAGCTTTTGGTTATCATGATGGAGAATTCTCCGAACTTACCGATTTTGTAGCAATTCCTTGATTTCTGGACGCACCGTCTCCAGGTCATTTGTCATTATCAAAGGGGCAGCCATAATTGTCCAGATGGCAAGCTGTAAACGGCTTGCATCGTAGCTCAGTCGGTAATTACCGAGCACCAACTGAGGAGTGAATATATATTCGTACGCTATCTTTTATTTGCGCCTCTCACTCACCATGTCCGGATCATTCCAGTGTCCGGGTCCGCCATAGCGCTCAAATGTGTTCTGGTGCCTGCGGTAATGATTCATAATATCCAAGACCGACCAAGGGGAGTCAGTAACATCAGGACCAAAGCGCCAGAGATTGCAGTGCTGAGCGATATCGTCATAATTGGGCTACAAAGTGTAATTACGAATCCAATATCACTCGCTCTAACCAATAGCACTGTAGCACTGTACTTGCGATTTGTAAAATGGCCAGCTGCAGGAGTAGACCATGGGTCGTCCGGTTTCATTTAAAGCTCTACCAAATTCTCGATAGCCATCGTCCATTTTCTCATTCTCTGTGAAACACCCGTCTAGCTTAACATAGTCCACACCCCATTCAGCAAAGGTTTGAGTATCGACCTTAAAGTAACCCTCAGCTCCGGGACCCTGAAACATGCAGGTGAATTTTCCCACATCGTGGTACAATCCGAACTTAAGTCCCCGCTCGTGTATCTGGCGGAAAACAGATGGGTAAATATCTTGAGGGTGTGAGGATACTGAAGAGAATTGCAGCCTTACGTAGTCAGATAAGTGTTTCAAACCACTGGGGAAGCGATCTCGACTTGGCAATAACTTCCGCGTTATTGAATCTCGGTATTTCTCCATCCAGCAATCGTCAATTATTAAGAATTTGTAGCCCACATCGGCGTAGCCCTCCGAAACCAAGAGATCCGCAGTACGCTTGAAGAGCACTTCACTTTAAATAGAATCCAAAATGTCAACGTTATTTATATTGGCAGACGCATAGGCATTTAAAGCGGACAGTCACCTGACGCAGTCTCTGGGGAACTTGACGCAGTCGGTGATGCAACGAAATCGCTCCCAGGGCATCCAACCCATAGGCGGCGTTCGGGCCAGACCATTTTCAAGGCCCCAAGAGGGGCTCCAGTAGTAGACAAGAAGAAGAAGAAGAGCACACCAATTTCCGTCGAACATTTCGACCGATTCGCGAATATTCGTTTATTACGTATAGATGTTGTTCGAAGCACTGTCAGACAAAGTCTCTAAACTGCCAGCTCCACTCTGAGTTGTTTGATTCGAAACGGTGGTCATAGCAAATTAAATTTCCTTTATGGTCTAAAAGAGAACTTTTAATTTATGAACTTGTAAAAACACAATGTTTACTATATAGTATTTGTAAGTAGTTTCAAAGCTTTTTCATGGAATTCAGGTGTAAAGTTTTAAACAAATACGCATCTACAACAAAGCTCACAGTTGTGAGACTACACTAAAAAAAAAGTATTTTAATTTTAAAGTATAAAATCCCGATTTTAGTTTGTTTCGGTCTTCGTAAAAACAATACTGATGCCAAACTCCACTTCGGGGTACATAAAAAAGCATAAATTAGTGAATAAATTCGGCTGTTCAGTCTTTCAATTGCACATTTTCCAAAGAGAGCCTTCTATCTCTACTTGGGAGCACACTTTTATTTCAAAATTGTTGTTGAATGAAAAGCGATAAGATCAGATAAGAAAAAATTCAATAAGTAACTTGTTTTGTTAGCCCGGCAATTACAGTTCAAACTCTCAATTTAAAAACATTCGATGCAACACTTCTGACTATGGAAAAACAAATTTGCTCTGCAAGTTCTACTTTCCGGCCATGTAGAAGGATCATCATTACTCCTTGTTGGTCTATCTGTTTTAAGAACTTACTTCCACGTTTATTAAGTTAACAAATATAGCAAAAATACTTATATCGAGGCCGTCTTTGTCATATAACCGAAATGACTTAAATAGAGTTTTTGCCTGCAATCATTGGAACCAAAATAAATATTGAGAAAGTTGTTTTTTACCTCGCGAAAGTTCTCCCCAGATGACCAAATTCAAACAGTTAACAATTTCTTTCTAATGAACAACAAGAAAGTACAGATAACGCTCAGTTTAAATATAATTCGCGCCCTATAACCATATAGAAAAAAGTCATTTACATTTAGATTTCATTATATTAGATTGATTTAAGTTGAAGCACCAAGACAAGCCTACTCGATTTAGAATAGTTCGTTTTATGTATTTTTCCTTGAGTGTAGAGACATTTCTTATGGTGTTAGGTTGGTCATTGTTTATGAAACACTTCCAGATGACAAATTGTAAACAGTTGGTGGAAATGTGTCACCAACACAGAATCAGACAGAACAGTTTGAAAGAAAAGTTTTTCCAAGTACTGCTTCACCGTTAACTGAACCCAAAAATAAACAGAGAAACTTGGTCAGAAAACAGAATGGCTAAAGTTTTTGTCTTCTATTGTAAATACTTAAAACCTACAACAATTGTGCCTCTATCGCTATTTCGTAAACCAATTGTTTTTGTTGTGAAGGCAGAGTGCAGGGAAACTTGTGAAAGGTCCATTAAAATGCTACGAGGCGCGAGCGATTATTCAATTGACAGCCTCGGTCGAGCCAGGCAAAGCGAGGCCGGGCCCGGCCGGACCTCATCACCACTTGGACCCCTTTGGCTCAACTAGCCACTTAAACGTTCAGCGCAAACACTTTGCCTCCCGCGCTGGCAGGCAAAACACGCCTCACGTCGCGTATTAAGGACAATAAAATGTCCCCGAAGTGCGTCAAATGAGCATAAAGCCGTTCAGAATGAGAATACAAACGAGGACGAGTGAGTGACGCTGATGGTGGTAAGCACGCTGTCGAGTTGGTCAGGATTAGACAGGCGAAGTGCCTGATGTTAGTTTAAAGTAGATAAACAAAAGCGGATTTGTTGCGCGCATTTGTGGCTTTCCCATCTTCTCATCACAGTCTCCCCCACAAGTTTCTATCTACGGTCAGTCGTAGTCGCTATCTACGATACGCACATAATGGTAGCTAGAAGGGAATAGCATTTGCAGGAGCTTACCACCGACATGCCCTATAAAGGCAGCTTAAACTGGTGTAGCTGCGCTCGGAAAGTGTTAGCGTCATGTGTGCTTAACTCACACAACTAATCAACTGAATAGTTCTAATATTTTTCACCTTGAAAAAATGTCTCCTATAGTCGCATGCTGATTATTCCATTACTTTTTTTATTGCGAGTATTTAAATTATTATCTAATGTTTTTAGTGGAATATTAAACATATATTTATAGCAACGCCTTCTATGTATTCTTTAAACACAGAACCTTTTAGGTATAAAAATAGACTCTTTTTCATATCAAATTTTAGTATATAATCCGATTGATTTTTTTTGACTTTTTGCTTAAAAAAAAAATTTAGCATTCTTAGCGAAAATATTTACATACGTGTACTACATACTTCGATTTTGATGAATCGTTTATATATGTACATATATTGTTTCTCATAATAAACGTAGATACTATTGATTTTTATGGATGATAGGTTATTTTCTTTTTAACGCAATATTATAGGCAGATAGAGATCTCTAAATATGGGGGTTATATTTTAAAAAATTATTACCCCTTACGAATTGAAAATAATTTTGTGTACGTCATGTTCGCATTCAAACCCAGCTACTCAAAGAATTAAAATAACAAATAATAATAAATTCCAAATATATCATATAAATAATTATGTTGTTATTTAAAATCATATATAATAAGTAATGCACGACACTTGAAAGTCAGACCAACTAACTAAATAATAAATCAAGGATTTTTCACTCTTTCTGCACTCAACCCTCGGGATTACTTTCAAAATTAGAGCACTGATCACCATTCAGACTCTCTTATGAGACCTTACTTAGTTAAATTTGATAATTTTGTTTGATTATTTGGATTGTTAACTAAATCAGTAGTACTTTTGCAACTTTTTTATTACAATGGTAAATGTATTTAATTAAGATGGCTCAGTTTTATTTATATTTAAATTATATTTAAACAACTTTCGGATTTGTTCACTGATTGGTATTCAACACACAAATTATTTTTAGCTAGGAAGCTGATTCTTAGACATAAGTTTCCTTCTACGGTTTAAAAGGAGGCACTAAGAAGAGGTTTTGGGAAATTTCATACAAAAGCTAACTTAGATTGCGATCAAATTTGTATGACAATAATATATAAGAAGTTTTGGTGGATATATGTATATGTATATATATATGTTCTGTATTTTTTGTTGTTGTTGTGTTAAACCTGATTTTTTAATACAATGTGCTCATTCCATACGCTCTTCATCTCACGCTCACTCATCTCTAATTAAACTCTTTTGTACCAATAATTCCCATAGCAGTTCAAAATATCAAATTATACATATTGTGGGATATAAAAATATCTATGTTAATCATGTATTGATTGATTTGCACCGCCTTTTCGGACTTTGCAATCCACGCTATGAGCTTTCAAGTGCAGTGTTTAGAAAAAGAGTTATCCATCCAAATGGATAACTAGCTTCTGTAAGCTAATTTCGGGAATAACAGTGCTTTGCTTAAAGTATTCTATTTTTAAAACGTCCCATGCAGTTAACTAACAGTTCTGGTATTTGGAATACTAATGTGACTCTCTGGTCTTGGTCTTATATACATATTCTAGGTGGGGCAGATGTGTCGTCTCGCCACAAGCTCACGTACTATGCATTCCTATCTACGTGCTAAAGTAATTTTATCTTAGCGCTCGATGCTGTTTTATAATTCAATTGGTCTACCACAACAACTAGTTGAAATGTCTAATGAATATGCGGCTTGTTGAATGGGTGCCAGAACTTTTTTCGGGTCTGTAACACGAAATTTGCTGCAATAACTGTTGAATTACATTAGCAGTTGCGGTTACTCGGCTATGATTGCAAAGACATCCCAAGGCGCTGGCAAATGTCAAACGACAACTGTGTGTTGTGTCTCCTCTGGTTGTCCCGAAAATGCATGTCTCTGCCACAAGTGACAGAGAGACTTACCTGCCCTTGGCCACCATCCACCATCCATCCCCCATACTTGTAATCCACAGAAGACATTTAGTTTCATCTTTTTCGACAACCACTTGTGGGAAAATTCACACTTAGCTATATTTCGGAGTCGGACCAACTTGTGGTTCTCATAGTGCAGCAGCTACTGGACTAACCTGCACTCCGAAAGGCCCTGCGCTGGGAGGACGAACCGCAAAGAGAGCACCCAGTGATTTATTTTCTCTTAACAACTTGTGGGGGGTCTGCTCTTAAATTCGAATTTAAAATCAGTCGTCTGCGAAGACTTGGTAACTCGTTGTTGCAACATTTTGGATGGTTCGTTTGTTTGTTGTTTGTTTTAATCTCGGCTTTAAAGACAAGCAACAACTTTTGAGATGGAAAAAACTTCGTTTAATTAGACTTCACCTTTTGGTGGCCATTGTTTAGCGCCCTTCAGGCGAGTCTGGCAAAAGTTTGCTGTTAACACCATTTATGTAAATATTAAATACAAAACCGACTTAATTAAAATGTATGTGCCATGTTCTTTATTTATTTTTTTGGTTTTCTGTGCTGGAGCGAAAACAACAGGAAGTGCGGCAAGAATGTTTAGCTTTACATGTCTTTTGTGCCGGAATTGGTGTTTTCCTAGCGTTTTTGTAGCACGGCATGAAATTCCCGGAGCGTCTATAATAAACTCGAGACTCAAATAAAGCCGGACCGGGCTGGGCCGGGCCGGGCCGGGCGTGTTAGTGTAAGGCATGGTCGCCGTGGGCAAGGGAGGGGGTCCAGGCAATAGGCAAACAAAGAAATACAAGAAATTCTTTTCACACAAAGCGCGTGAGACGAGTGGAAGAGTCCTTTGGGTGAGGTATGCGAGCAATGACCAAAGATGAAATATTTTCAATACAAGCTAGGAAAAACACAGACGACACATACGCACACAGTCGCATTCCTTTTTGTATGTGCAATATATTTATTACGCATTTGACAATCCCCAAGTATGTACCGACAAACACACATGCAGACTCGCATTCGGATCCTTAGAGGAGCACAGGGCATCCAAACACAAATCCAATACGTATAGGTACACATATACTATACATACTTGTATAATACAGTTATATAGCGTGTCATAATTGTGGCACAGCAGCAGCAGCAGCAGCAGCTCAACAGCTCAAAGAGCAATGAAAGATAATAAAATTTACTGGCGATTGAATTTAACAAATGAAAAGGAAATCATCGGAGAGC